ACACATTAAACCATAGTTCAGGCATAGCTAGAACTCATACCATCGATAAGGATGCTCTCGGTTTTTTCACACTACATACTCCCTTTTTAAACTTATTACTTATTAACGCACGTTCACTTCTGAACAAAATTTCAGCCTTGAGAACCTTAGCCTTTCTAGCCAAGCCTTCTTTTATACTTATCACTGAAACGTGGTGTTATCCAGCAGTAGACGATTCCGAACTAAATATCCAGAACTATCGACTCTATCGCTGCGACAGAGAAACTAAGGGAGGAGGCGGTTGTCTTATATTTACCTTGGATACCTCAACAACTAACAAAGTTGAAGATAGTATCTTGAATAGTTTACCAGAATCGATCTGGATATCAATCAGTACACTGAATCATAGTCTACTCTTAGGTTGTATATATAGAGCTCCCGATAGTACTGATAATTTGAATGATCTTATTATCAATGCATTTATACACGCATCTACTCTAAACTTCAGTGCTAAGATTATGACTGATGATTTCAATTATCCTGGGATTAACTGGAGTACCGGTAGTTGTCAGTCTAGCAATGATGAATTTTTATCAATCCTTAATTTGTACTGCTGGTCACAGTGGGTTCGTACCCCAACAAGGGGTGATAATACACTTGATCTAATATTTAGTAGAGATATCATTCCCCTATCTGTACAAGTATACAACGAGTTTGAAAGCAGTGATCATAGGATAGTAGCTTGTGCTCTCCCCATCTATCCCTCCTACAACCGACCAATTCAAAGAACCTGCAATTATAGAGACTATAAGCATGCAGACTGGGACCTCTTGCGCTCACTGATCAAACTCTCAGACTGGGATGAATTCTTCTCATGTAATAGTCTGACAGATGCCATCAACATATTCTATTTGATTGTTAACTCTTGTCTAGACTCCTGTGCACCAATTAAGACTTACAGGATTAGTAAACCGTACGAATTATATATACCAGCTAAATATCGTAATAAAGAAACGTTATTTTATATCTAACGACTTCACGGCAGTCACACAAATAACAATAATTTTTAACTAAATTAAAGAGAAACATAGGTTAAAAGCCGTCAATGAAGAGCTATTAGCACTAAGTACTAGCTCAAAAGTGCAAAACCTAATCCACCTTTACAATAAACGTGCTAAATATACTCAAAGTGTTGATATAACATGCATCCTGCATAATAATAGTTTTATATATGACCTAAAAATTATAGCAGACCTTTTCAGTGGTAATTTCGCAAATGGCAAAGAATCCATAAATGGTTCTGTTTCCAGAGTTATATGCATGACTGGTAACTCAATAAAATCTATCTCCTTCACATGCCTGAAAATTAGTAAGGTTATAAATAACGTCAAGGTTTCGAAAGGTCACGGAGCAGACGGGATTTCATTGTTTCTCTACAAATATGGTGGTCCAGATATTCCACTTCTTCTCCTTAAGCTGTTTACTCTCTCTATAGAATCAGGCTCTTATCCTGACCGTTGGAAAACCGCGTACATCATAACACGTTACAAATCCGGAGATAAGACTGACATGAACAACTATCAGCCAATAAATGTTACTTCAGTTATCTCTAGTATTATAGAAAAAATTATTAGTGACGAACTATCCAACTATTTATTGACTGAAAAATTTATTGATGATTCGCAACATGGATTTCTTAAAAATCGATATTGTATGACATGTCATTTTGACTTCTTTAATTTAGTCTATTCTCTTCGTAGCCAAGGATATCTAGTATTAGTGTTATACCTGGACATTTCTAAGGCCTTCGACATGGTCAACCACCAACTTCTCATAGGTAAACTCGCATCTTATGGGGTCCAAAACCCGTTACTAGCCTGGTTTGATTCCTTCCTCAGCAATCGACATCAAATAGTTAAAATCAACTCTTCATTGTCGAATGCCGTCCCTGTTAGAAGTGGGGTAATTCAGGGTAGTGTCTTAGGTATTTTGCTCTTTTTAGTTTTCATTAATAATATCTGTGAGTGTTTTAGTGTGGGTAAGTCCCTTTTGTTTGCAGACGATCTTAAGGTGGTGTACTCATTTTCTCCACATGAGCTGAGCAATTTTCAAAATTGCATCAGCACGGAGCTTAACAAGGTAGCACAGTGGTGTTCGAAATGGCAACTGGAGCTTAATACAGCTAAATGTGGATGGTTATGCTTCGGTGATACATCACTCAACCTCGATCTTACCATAAATGGTGAAGTGTTATCTAGGTTACACACAGTAGTAGATCTAGGACTTAGGTACCCAGACGACTTGTCGTTTACTTAACAGATAATGATACAAACGTCCAAGTTTCAACGCCTTATAGGATACATAACTCGAAACCTTCATAACAGCGGATCTCGTATTCTAATGTACAAAGTCTGTGTTCGACCACTCCTCGAATACTGCGCGTTTCCCCTTAGTAGCACGCGCATATAAGATAAATTAAGATTGGTATAAGTACAGAGACGATTTACACTTCGTACTCTTGGAACTGATAGTGTCTTGACATATAATTCTAGGTGTAGTAAACTAGGGCTTGAACCTTTATGGAATAGGAGACTTAAACTTAACCTTATCTTTTTTTTCAAAACACTTAACAAACTATCCTTTACATCCATCCAGGCGATTCAATTTGCTGAAGCTTCACATTACGACATTCGTAACTCCTTGTCTTTAGCGAAACAACCATATTCCAGATATTCCCTCTATATGAACTACTTTACCTGTAAGTTTTCTAGACTCTGGAATAATCTACCACAAATTATCCCATTATTTGTTCGTTCCATTAATGCCTATTGGTCCACTGAAAATGCAATGAATGCTCTAGCGACTGTAAGTGTATCATACTCCATAAGTGAGATTATCGGGACTTTAAATGTTTAACCTCTTACTTGCTATCATTGTTTTGTTGTTCCATGCTCTCTGCTTTTGTCTTACTTTCTCTAGTTGTAGATAATTATCAATAACTCGCTCCGGCACTGGAAATAACCTTACAGAACAACGTTCATAAATCATCAGACTATCTACTTAAGAAAAAATGACAAAATACCTGGTGTTTCATTGGCTTGCCGTGATATATGCCATATATAAAATACTTATCAATTACTAAACCAGCAAACATAAAACTTTCTTATATTTCATGTTTGTTCGCTACATCAAATGTTGCTTTTTATATCAATCTGATCATGTCTGTAAACTGGTGTGAATTCTGTAAATATTATTTTCAGAATATATTATTATTATCCGGCCAAAAGGGCATTAACTGAAACGAGGGGGGTTAAGAGCGTTGACCTTAAATAGCCTGGGAGTCTGTTCTGTCATGGTAAATTTAAAGTATGGGGATGAGCAAGGGAAAAATATTCAAAAACACCAAAAAATAAGACGACATATGAAAAAGAAAGTAAAGCAATGATTTGTGAAGTTAGAAAAAGGCACAGATTCATATTTTATGGGTAAGTGTACCAGATCACGTCGGCTTACCAATGAAGATGCCACAAGTATTGTAGTTTGACAACACTTTAACTAGCAACAGCTTCTATAATTGAATAGTGCCATTCCAGTGAAATCGAAAGTCAGAAGCGAGGAGGTTGAAAGATTTATTTGATGGATTATCAATATCTCGAGAAATGACTGATCTAATCTGGCTAGTGATCGCAGGAGACGTTGAGCACGCCGTTCGAAACCGTGATCTGGTGTGGACACATACTTTTGTCTATAAAATCTGCCGGACCAGCGGCTAGAAAGGTGAATCAATAAATTAAAATTGAATTTTGCATTAGTAGCCCATTCTTGAAGTGTTTATGAAGGTTCTGTCCCTAGCCCTCTTCACATTCAAATGTATACACTTCAGCGAAGTAATAAATGAAATCGTAGAAATATATGCAATCCCTCAGTCACACAAATTATATCCTTCCAGTTCGTGCCAGTTAACAATAAAAAAGTATCTTATATATATACAATTCTTAAAACATTAACCTATTTCAAATAAAGTTTTACAATGTATCATAATGCTAGGTCAATGATGTTTATTATTCACACTTAAAAAAGGAGGACTGCATCAATCCTCACGACGCAAAGTAAGAACACCATTGCTGTACAAGTGAAGATTTATAGACCACAGAAACTCGAAGGAGACCCCAGTCGAGAATACACTAATTTATATATTGATTTGTATGCCCGATCAATTACTTTAAAGATGCCAAAACTATTTAGGGTTTGACAACGACAACCAAAAATACCACCCTAATGGAAGTACCAGACGAACAGAATATTGTTTGGCGTCCATGATCACGTCAGGCACCACTAAAGACATCACAGATATTAGGGGTTTGATAACATCATTACAAGTAAAATCGTTATAATTGAAGGATACCCAATTATTCCTATCAGAATTCAGAAGTGAAGGGTTTTGACAATAATAATAATATATTCTGAAAATAATATTTACAGAATTCACACCAGTTTACAGACATGATCAGATTGATATAAAAAGCAACATTTAATGTAGAGAACAAACATGAAATATAAGAAAGTTTTATGTTTGCTGGTTTAGTAATTGATAAGTATTTTATATATGGCATATATCACGGCAAGCCAATGCCACACATGGAACTTTTAATATAGAATAAAAGAATATACATGGAGAGTTGTCGATGTGCTGAGAAGCGTATTGTTTAAGCTGGCTAACAGTTTCAATGAAGGGATAGCACTACGTACCCACTCGGGATCTTATGAGAATGAGTGACCAAACACCTTCAGCTAAGTGTGTACAGTAAAACTAATGGGGTCATCTTCATATGTTGATGAATTGCAGAACTATTTATTTTCGGGGTTTATTTACCTTTTAAGCATATATGTCTATATTCTTCTAGCATACGTTATGAAAAAGTTTCTTCACTAGGCCGCCACTTGTGTAATAAGGGCTGAAGGTAATTAAATAGTTTTAGTATAGAAATGTTCATGTCGATAGGAATATTCACTTGTTGAGCTTTGAACATAACATGAGCGCTACATCTAACTTATACGCTTCTAAAGCTGGCCAGTGGAAACAATCCTGGTTCGAATAATCTTTCAGATTCTGTCGAAACATGTGATGAGAAAGGAAAGTCGTCGAAGAAAAAAGGTTAAATCTATTGTTTTACCCTTTATGCTTCACTGAACTCAGTATTATTAACGGAATAAATTTACATTTGTCGTTTGTTCGATTAAATATTATTAGTCCTTAGCACGTGATTATTATCTTTTCATTGTGAATAGGGTAATGTTTTAGTGTGTTGCTAGACGATGTTCAACGCTGTAATCTAATCTCAATCACTTGCTTTATTAAATGCTTTCCGTTGTTCACAGTCCAATGACTGTAAAGAATATTAGGAGAATGTCTTATTTCTTGCAGAATAATTTCCTGTGTTGTCACTTAGCTTACTCGATTATAGGATAAATCACTTTTCTAAGTGCCCAAAATTAGTGCTTTCTGAAAACTACTGGTTTTAAGGACATAGTTGAATCCATAGGGGTAGTTACATATTCGCCTCCACAGTAAATGCATATCTGACACTCCAGACAGATGCATTTTAGTGTTACATGCTGGTCATAAGCTGTTGGTAACATCTTTTAAAGAACGTGTCCTGCATAATCCAGTCATGATTGTGTTCGCTCAGTTATTTAAAATAATACGAATTAGACGCTGTATTGTTTAAGCATTTCTTTTCCATTATGTTAATTAATTACGGACCTATTAATCGGTTTATGTTGTTGGGTTCGGCTAAATAAAGGACGATATTTTCGTTTATTTTTTGTAGTATGATTCGTTTCGTAGTGTCCACGTATGATAGAGTTTTAAGTTTTCATTTTTTTAATTATTAATTCCACAGGACTGAGAAGTTTGTTTAGGCACGTTTCGCATTCAAAGCATTCTAACCGTAGTCAATGTTCTACGAGCGAGCCCAAAACATTGGAAGCGATTCCGGCGATTAATTCGTCTGATGTGAAGGAAAAACCACTACATAATAACCGGAAACCATTGTGGGACGTTTTGGAGACTGGTGGCTCTACGCGAAGTAGTAGCCTTTCAGGTTATGAGACGCAACTGCCCGTAGACTATCATATAGGAGCTACTTTTCTTGACCCTAACAATCCGAAGTCTAAGAAAAGTGTTGAATCTATTTCGGACCGTGGTGTATTTCCGGTTGAGGTGTCAACTTCCAGCTCATCAGCATGTAATACCTCATTATCGAGGTAGGTTTATTTTAACATAGAAACTTGATTTTACAACATTTACGAAGTGTTTGCTAGCAGTTGCGTTATTTCCAAACTGAGTTCACCATCTAACCTGTAGAACCAATAATTTTCTTCATACTTAATTCTCATTGAGTCCAGACTAACTACTATAGTGGTCAGATTCAGGTGAAAGTTCATTTAACCAACAGTTTCCCCTATTGTTGTTAGTGGTAGTTTATTTTTTACTCTAAGATCAGCAACACTACATCATAAGTTAAATCTCACTGCTATACTTATTCCATCCATTATGATCTGTCTGGTTGGATGCAGTTGTGGCTGTGTATTTAATTTACTATCATTGGATAGCGAGCCCACCTTATTAGAGATTTTTGGGTGGTGAAATTGTATCATAAACCCATACAAAATACCTGGTACATTTTTTATTTTACTTATTTAAACAGATAAATATTGGTACAAAGGGGAACCAGATATATATGCGCCACATTGTCTATATCGTAGTTTTGTATTCACTAGGTTATATTAGCCATCATACAACCGTTGTGGATCAACGCTTACTAAACCTATATACTCTCATGATATTTCAGCCTATGACAATCTACATATTTCATTTGGGGAGTTAAGTATTATTTGCCGTACTATAACCATTGACCGGTTACTAGAGTCCATATATGGCCACTGTATGTTTATTTTCTGGATTACGTATATATAGCTTAGAGATCATTTTTCATGTCACGGCTTTTTTCTTTACTGACTAATTCTTAAACCCTAAGAGTCGGAAGTGAACTGCTTTAGTTTGCATTAAGCTGGTTTTTTATAGTTTGTTGATCAATATGCAGTGATGTAAACTGCGGCTAATTGGGAATTATTTGGGTAAATCATATTTACGATACAAAGCCTCAACATAGACGATTATAGAATGGGTAAAAATAGCTCGTAAAAAGTATTCGTTTATTTTGTAAAGCAAGAACAACAAGTATCTTCACCATATTATACTCCCGACCGTTGCTGCTACCTTAACGTGGTGGTCGGGCTTGCCTATCGTGATGAAGCAATCGAGCTATGCTGGCTGGAACAATCGTTCCTCGAGGTCCTACCATGCCAGACAGGTCGGTTGAAGAGCGGTGAGACTAAAAGCAGCAAACCCAAGGTCCGAAGGCGAAGTCGTACTGCTGACTGTACAGAGGTGTGACAGCAGTAAGGTGTTTCCTTCAGACAACCTGCATGACAGCGATGCTGCCTTCCCACAAAAAGGGGTGGGGTTAGAAAAGGTCAACCCTAAAAATACACATCTCGCTTTATCCGACGGATATCCGTCTCCGGCGGTAAGGTTTTTTTTTGAAGAACGGAGCTAACACAAAAACTACCCACAAAAAGGTCGTGTGTGACCGACCTCAAGCAGTTGTCCCTTGGGCACTGCGGTCACGCTCTCAGGTCATTAAGACCACTTCTAACCCAATTTCCTTTTCAGGTACCCCCAGGAGAACCCTTCCACGGTGTGGGCAACCGGGAAGTGATAACTGCCCTCATACCTCTAACAGCACTCAAGACCACCGTATTCATAATCAATCTCCTTCTTCAATTCCTACTATTCCTTCTACCTTGACTTTCAACACTAAACTTCCTGTTCCGGTTTCCTCCTCAAGTGTCACCATGGCCAACGATTCTAGTGCGCGAAACGCTGTCCCAGGTCTACTAAAACCTCTCTCCAAACTACACATTGGAGCGTTCAACGTACGTACCCTAAGTCAAATCGGTCAACAGGCCTCCTTAGCTAAAACCCTAGAATCTCGTACCATTAGTGTATGCCGTGTCTCCGAAACACGCATACAGGATCCTAGTGTGGTCATTCACTTGACCTCACCTCGCCAACATGAAGGAGGGACATCGTCTAACATGGCGACCACCTGCACCAAACCAACGATGGACTCAAATAGACCATATTGTCATCAGTCATCGTTGGAGAGGCTCAATAGAAGATTGTCGCTCGTATTGGAATACTTGTTTAGACTCTGATCACGCTTTAATACGAGCGCGCATTTGTCTGCGCCTCAATGGACGCAGGAAAAGTACACTAAGAAGACCCATTAGGATTGAACTGGAGGACGAGAAAGCCAAATGCGAATTCCAGAAACAACTGAGTTCACATCTAGGCAGTTCTGTAAACAAGACTGACACAGATGCTGCTTGGAAAGACATACGAACAGCTGTGGAAACAGCAGTTACATCTATTAGTCATTTAAACCATAGGGCTCCAAAAAAACCAATGGATTTCTTCTAAGTCTATTTCACTGATGGATTCGCGTAAACTCATCCCATCAGGCTCTGAACATGACGAAGAGCGTAAAGAAATTAGATCTAGGTTAACTAAAAGTCTAAGGAACGATCGTGAGCAGTGGTGGGCAACGAAAGCAAAAGAGATGGAAAAGGAAGCGGCTGTAGGGAACACCAGGCAACTATTCAGACTAATAAAGGAAACCAGAATTAAGAAGTCAAGTGTAAGTGAGACAATCTCGGAAAAAGACGGAACCCTTATCTGCTCTCAACCCAAACGTTTAGAACGATGGGCGGAACACTTTAAGGAGCAGTTTAGCTGGCCTTCAGCTACTGCACAACTGCCCACTATTCCCAGAAAACCTGAATGGAACATTGAAGTAGGCCCCCGACCCTACTTGAAGTTCAAAAGGCTATAAGTAATCTGAAACGAGGAAGAGCAGCTGGTCCAGATGGATTGGCTCCAGAGGTCTTTAAATATGGTGGTCCGATTTTAGCGATTAGGTTGACTAATATTCTGACTAAAATCTGGGAGACGGATGTAATCCCATCCGACTGGTCACAATCACTGATTGTCCCAATATATAAAAATGGGTCAAAATCATCCTGTGATAACCATAGAGGGATTAGTCTGACCAACATAGCATCTAAAATACTAGCCTCAATAATTATCGGGCGCCTAACTAAGACTCGTGAACTGCAAATACGAGAAAATCAGGCTGGCTTCAGACCTGGTCGTGGCTGTATCGACCACATATTCACCATTCGTCAAGTTTTAGAGCACAGACACGCTTATCGGCGTCCGACAATGATAGTTGTTCTTGACTTGAAAGCAGCATTTGACTCTGTAGACCGAGAGGTTCTCTGGCAGTGTCTGTCATTGAAAGGTGTACCTGAGAAGTGCATAAACCTTGTAAAGGCTCTTTACTCGAACACTACCAGTCGAGTGAGAGCTTATGGCGAACTGTCATATGATTTTACAACCTCAAGTGGTGTCCGTCAAGACTGTCCACTATCCCCATTTTTGTTTAACTTCATTATAGACCTGTTGCTGGAAATAACACTCTCGTCGACTGAATTTACAGGAATTGATCTCCTACCAGGAGGTTCACTTATCGACTTAGAATACGCAGATGACATAGTCCTGTTTGGTGAAGACGCTGGCAAAATGCAGTCTTGTTAGAACTGAGTAATAATGCCAGGATGTTTGGGATGCGATTCTCCCCATAGAAATGTAAATTGTTACTCCAGGACTGGCCTGCATCAACACCTGAACTAAGGATAGGGAGTGAAGTAGTCGAACGCGTCGACAACTTCACTTATCTTGGAAGTTTTATCAGCCCTAATGGGTTGGTGTTTGACGAAATCTCAGCACGGATTCAAAAGCTCGTTTGGCTTTTGCCAACTTACGTGACCTATGGCGAAGACGAGATATCCGTCTATCAATTAAAGGACGAGTATACTGCGCATCAGTTCGCTCTGTTCTACTTTACGGCTGCGAAACATGGCCATTAAGAGTAGGAGATACTCGTAGGTTACTAGTATTTGGCCACAGATGCCTTAGAAATATTGCTCGCATCTGCTGGGATCACCGGGTAAGTAATAGTGATGTTAGACGCAGGGTATTAGGGAACGATGGTAAATCAGTTGATGAGGTGATGAATCTTCATCGACTGAGATGGTTGGGCCATGTGTTACGTATGTCTGAACACCGATTACCACGACGCGCTATGATGACTAGTATTGGGGACGGTTGGAAGAGAGTTAGGGGCGGCCAAACCAAAACATGGCATCAGTGTTTGAAGTCACTAACTTCTAGCCTGAGCCATGTTGGCAGATGCAGACTACCTGGTTGGGGTCCGCGTGACTATCGTAACCAATGGTTGGAGACTCTAGGTGACATGGCTCAGAATCGATCACAATGGCGTAGGTGTATACACTCTTTATCTTCCTTTAAACCTTGAGACTAAAATTGCTTCATATCTGTCTTCCTTCCTATACTATATCCTTATATACAACCTATAATTTATATACTACTACCACCAGTAAATTAATTACTTCTATGAATCCGGTGTTCATCTTGTTGTGCTAACGAGGTATGGCAACTTGGACCGATGCATAAATGTGCCTGGTCCTACGTTGTAGCTGACTGACTGACTGATACCCCTTCAATAACATCTTCAAACCCTTATCTTTCACATAATACTTATATTCTTACTACTTCTACCAATATGGGATTTGAATCGACTTCATCTCTGTGCTAATGTGTTATGGCAACTCGAACTGATGTATGTACGTACGAAGTTCTACCTTGTAACTGACTGATTATCGAAATGATACGTTACTGTGGTTGGTAGTCGTTCCGATTGGTGTTGCTACTCTAACCAAATACTTTTGTTATGTCTTACAATATTTTCATCATTTTCGATTTTGGTTCCAGCAAAACTATCATCACAGTAACCAATTCAACACCCGAAACACATAACAATAGATCGTTTCATACTTCAGTGCCTCGCGCATATGCTTCTATGCCCCATGCCATGTTACCTGTTTATTACGGTTGTGAGGTAAATCAAGGTTATTTTTCGTCTGGGTTTTTGATATTTGCTTTCATTATTTACATTTTAAATTAAATTACGTTTATAACGTTTGGATAAAATTCGTATCAAAATCGTTCAGAATGCATTTAACTGATCTTGTAGATAAATAGAAAAGTGCTCATGCCCAATCTCTTTATTTATTTATTTGAACACAAACATTGGTACAAGAGGGTACCGAATGTATATGAGCCAAACAATAACTATGAGGCCAGTAGTAGTTATCATTTACTTGTGTGAGGGCTCAAAAAGTGACTTTGTTGAAACCCACTAAAATAATTTTATTCATTTGCCCATAAACGTTTACTACACTTTTCTTGTTTTGAGTCCGGAGACTCAAAAGAATTATTATTTCGCTAGCGATTTCTCTTCACAGAGTCATTATAGTTGTTCATTCATCATCAATTATGGCATCTTGTAAAAGGAGTTTAATCTAATGGACATTTTTATTTATTTTTATTTAAACACATAAATATTGGTACAAGGAAGCATCAAATAAATATGCGCCACACAAATCTCATTCGATTTTTGTGAGGGCTGTGATACTGCTCAGGTGCCCAGACTGAAGTAGGTGGTTTTCTTAGGGGGCCACACCCGGAGCCTTTGATCTGAATGTCTGATCCACAAGGCAGTGGAGCATCGTGAGGAGATGCAGTCCCATGGTAGCCGGTGATCAACGGTTGATTCGTACGCCATTTGTTCCCTCAGGATACTGGAGCCCATGTGCACCACTGGTTTGGAATCAGAGTTTTCCAACTCCCCTAGGTAAACTTTCCATGTCCACCAACCCGGTTAAAGCGCCGGACATTCGCTTTTCGTCCTCTCGCTTTCGTAAACAACACCGATGCCACGAGAAGGCAGTGAGTAGGACTTCCCTGGCAGAGGCTGTATATTCGCTGGCCATATGAAAGCATTTCGAGAGGGAGAGGTGACTCTCCTCACTCTCGGCCGTACCAGGGCATTTGGGGGCCTCTTGGACAAGTTTTGAACAAATTAATCAATATTAAAATGTACACTTCTAAAATTTCCAGATAGCTTGAATTTACTTACCACGAGTTCTGTATTCTGAGATCGTCAAAGGTACTTCATACTTGGTCAAATCTTCAAACAACTTTATATTAAAATGCTGGTTAGGTATTTTTTTCCTACCGTTTAATCTCAGGTACCACTTGTTAACTAAGGCACGAAATAGCTAAGATATATGAGCTACAAAGTTTGTATCAATACCACTAGCGATGATAAAGCACATGATATCCTGCTTTTATCTGTTGTTCATTTTTAACTTTGTGTACATACCATTTCATAAAAAATGTTCTTAACTCATATATTATTATAGCCCTTATCATTTAGTGCAATCTATGCTTATATAAACGATTCCAGAACTTGGTAACATCTGGTAATAAGTAATTGACGTTTCTTTTTATTATCATTTACTGATTAAATCATTGATTTGAAGCATGGTTGGCCCATATGTTAAAGTAATGATATTTACTACAACACAAAAATCTAATCACTGTTGCCCCATCATACAGAGACTCCAAATGAAATGTATGTTTCCTTGTGAGCTTTGCCATAATACATATGAATTATAATTTAAGATTACAGTTCGCAACTCATTGGTTATGTAGGTATCATTACCAAGGTTTGACTTGATAATTTCAAATAAATTGAGCATTGGGTAGATTGTTATAAAAAAATAATGTATTTGTAATATCCCAGTGTGTAGAAAACTTAAATCCTTCGATGTTTCGGGACTCAATGTAAGCCACTTCATTGGTTGTCATTGGTTATGCATTCCCAGGTAATAAACCGTTGCTTTAGAGAGTCGATAGTTATTTTATATTTGAAGTTTGGTCTGCGTTGTCGCTATATATTAATACCAAAACAAATCAATCAATCAGTCTTTCGATCAATCGGACAAGAAGTAAGAATCGAATTCCTATTTGTCTAATTATTTCAGGGAATTGAGAAGCTACTTTATTAGGATCACTTGCATTGATTGTAGAATATAAAGCATCTTATGTCTCATCAGTTTTAGCTAGAAAACTTTCGGTTCCTGACAGGATTTAAGGTAATCCACGTATTAATATTTCTCACCGTGAAACTCTTCTTCATCACTACTATTCTAGCAGTAACACTATGTGAAGAGTTTGGTTCGAAGTAATCATGTTCTTTGTGTTCTCGTCATATATTTTAATTACATCAATGAAGTTGTTGCGTCACACCTAATTATTACTGTAAATACAGTGATAGTCAAACATCTTTATCTCTCATGTCTACCTGCATCATTTAGTATATTATACAACTCAACCTTGACAAAGGAGAGATCAATATTAAATTGTTGTTAAAAGTGGCATGAGTTTAGAACACTAAAATGTAAAGGAAGTTGATATTACACACAACTGTCAATGTTAAATAAACTAAATAAAGAATGACTAATATTGTCTGTTAAGTTCATATTATTCTTATTGACTTTTATTCTGTCGTTATTGGTAATCAAGTCCAAACATGCCGTATTCGTCAAAGGTTTTTTAAATTTGTGCATATTAGAGCCGTGCTGACACTAAAAATCTTAAAATCGAGTAGATTGCTAAACTTCATTTAAATAAAACAATTACTAACTGCAATAAAAGTAAAATCTCTTACGTACATTTTGATATCAGCATGTATACAAGAAAATTCAGTTTGATTGAGTGATGAAGCATACATTCTTGTAGCAATATTTCGAAAAAACATTTGTTGTGTTAAAGCTCGAAATTTTATACCACTATCAAAGCTGGATTAGGGTATAGAATTTCTATTGTATAATCCTGCTTTATTCATTAAGTCATGAGTTCAAAATTTTCTTTCAATTTGTTTGACTAGGTATATCTCGAACTTTCATGTAATATATGTTGCGTAAAAACGTGTATACTAATTTCTTTTTGGCTGTTAAGTCTCATCAAATTACATCCATTCATTTCATTTTATTGATTAATATTAAACTTAGTTTTGAGAGTAGTAAATTAAAGTGAACTTGGAAAAGGGATTAATTATCAAGTGTATGTATGTAGCTAGTAAACCGTCAGTATCAACCAGTGAGGTTTACGCACATTAAATTCCAACACAAGTAGCTCGACCGTTGCTACTACCTTGACGTTGTGGTTGGGTTTGCCTATAATGATAAACCAATCGGGCTATACTGGCTGGTACATTCGTTCTTCAAGGTCCTACTATGCCAGACAGGACGGTTGAAGAACGATAACACTAAAGGCAACAAACCCAAGGTCTGAGGGCGAAGTCATACTGGTGTCTGTACAGTAGTGTGATGGCAGTAAGGTGTTTCAGACAACCAGCATAACAGCGATGCCGTCTTCCCACAAGGAAAAGTGTGGTTAGAAAAGATCGACTCTGAACAATGCACACCTCACCTTATCTCACGGATATCCGTCTTCGGCGGTAAGGTCTCAACAAGTATGGAGTTAACATAAAACTTACCCACAAAAAGGTATGTGGCCGGCACCAAGCAGTTATCCCTTGGGCATTGCGGTCACGCTTTCAGGTCACTAATACCAACTCTAACCCAATTTCCTTTTCAAGTACCTTTTAAGTACCTCCACCGTGTGGGCATTGGGAAAGCAATAACCACCCTCATACCCTTAACAGCACCATTGCATTCATAATCAACATCTTTCTTCAATTTCTATTATTCATCCTACATCGACTATCAAGTCTGTACTGTCTCTTAAAGTGTCACCATAGCCAACGATTGAAGTGCGCGAAGTACTGTCCCAGGTCCACTGTAACCTCTCTCCAAACTACATACTTGACCTCACCTCTCCAAAATGGAGAGCTGACGAGATACACCCTGCGTGTATCTGGCGACCCGAGGGCTAGTCCTCGTGGACTTGCAGGTGTAGGCATAGCACTTAGTATAAGAGCAGAACTAGCACTATTAGAGTGGGTCCCCGTTAACAGTTGCCTATTTGCTATTCGGCTAAACGGCTCCACAAGAACTCGGAAGGATAGGGACACACTTCGTTGCCTTTTCGTCATTTCTGCCCACGCTCCCACTAACTGCAGCCCGGATGAAGTGAACGATGAATTTTATAGAAAGCTTTCTGAACTTCTAAAAGCTAAACATTCAGATATAGTACTCGTAGCTGGTGACTTTGATGTCCAAGTAGGTAGTTCAAACCAAACAGAAAGACATTTGGATGGGTATTTTAGCATCCCGGCTCAGCGAACAGATATGGTGATCGTCTGTTGCAACTGTGCTCAGAGAATCGTTTACTTTTAGTAAACACTAATTTTAAGCATGAGGAGAGACATTGTCTAACATGGCGGAGACCCCCTGCACCAAACTAACGATGGACTCAAATACACCATATTGCCATCAGTCATCGTTGGAAAGGCTCGATAGAAGACTGTCACTTATTCTGGAATACATGTTTAGACTCTGATCATGCTTTAATACGAGCACGCATTTGCTTGCGCTTCACCGAACGCAGAAAAGCCACATTAAGAAAACCCAGCAGAATTGAACTCAGTGATGAGAAAGCCATCAAATGCCCTAGTATGGCAGAGTATGGAGAAAGTCAGCCCTCCTTCTCGAAATGCTCTCACATGGCCACGCGTATACAGCTACTTCCAGGGAAGTCCTACTGACTTTCTTCTCGAGACGGGGGTGTTGTTTACGAAACGCCCGGTGCCTTAACCGGGTTGGTGGACATGGAAGGTCCACTTAGGGGAGTTGGCGAATCCTCATTCCAAACCAATGGTGCACATAGGCTCCAGGATCCTAAAGAGACCAATGATGTATAAACTTATTGGTCACCAGCTACTATGGAACTGCATCTACCAACGTTGCTTCACTGCCTTGTGGATTAGACCTTCAGGTCAAAGGCTCCGGGTGTGGCCCCCTAAGGAAACCGTCTGCTTCTTTTCGGACACCTGGGCAGTATCACAGCCCTCACACAAGTAAATGATAACTACTATTGGCCTCATTGTTATTGTGTGGCGCATATACATTTGGTGCCCCCTTATACCAATGTTTGTGTTCAAAATAATAAATAAAAGGTCGAGAAAGCCAAAGGTAAATTTCAGGAACAACTGTAGTCACACGCAAACTCGAAAACGAGACTGACCCAGATGTTGCCTAGAAAGATATACGAACGGCTGTGGAAACAGCAACGACATCTATTAGTGATTTGATCCAATGGATTACGAAAAGGCAGTGGATTTCTGCGACATCTAATGCACTGATAAATTTTCGTAAGCTCATCCTATAAGGCTCCGAACGCCATGAAGTGCAAAAACAAATCAAATTTGGGTTAACAAAAAGTCTAAGAGGTGACCATGTTCAGTGGCGGGTAACGAAAGCAAAAGAGATGGAAAAGGCAGTGTCTGTAGGCAGCGTAAGACAGCTTTTCAGGCTAATAAAAGAAACTGGAATTAATAAGTCAAGTGTAGATGAAACGATCTTGGAAAAAGACGGCACTCTTGTCCGCTCTTAGTCCAGACGTTTAGAATGATTGACGGAACACTTTAAGGAGCAATTCAGATAGCCTTCAGCTACTCTACAAATACCCACAATTCCTAGATAGCCTGAATGGCCCATTGAAGTAGGACCCTCAACTCTAAACGAAGTTCAAATAGCTATAGCTAATCTGAAACCAGGAAGAGTAGCTGGTTCAGATGGGTTAACTCCAGTGATCTTTAAGGATGGTGGTCTAGTTTTAGCGACAACAGTGACTAATATTTTAGCTAAAATCTAGGAGTTGAGTGTAATTTCATGTGATTTGTCGCAATCACTGATCGTCTCAATATATAAGAAGGGGCCAAAATCATCTTGTGATAACCATAGAGGGATTAGTCTGACTAACATAGCATCTAAAATACTAGCCTCAATAATCATCGGGCGCCCAACTAAGATTCGTGAACTGCAAACACGAGAAAATCAGGCTGACTTGAGACCTGGTCGTGGCTGTATCGACCACATATTCACTATTAGTCAGGTTTTAGAACACAGACATGCTTGTCGACGTCCGAAAATAATAGTTTTTCTCGTCTTAAAAGCAGCATTTGACTCTTACTGAGAGATTCTGTGGCAGTGTCTGCCATTGAAAGGTGTACATAAAGAAGTACATAAACTTTGTAAAGGCTCTTTACTCGAACTCTACCAGTCGAGTGAGCGCTTATGGCGAACTATCATCTGATTTTACAACCTCAATTGGTGTCCGATAAAGTTGTCTGCTATCCCCATTTTTGTTTAACTTTGCCATAGACCTATTGCTGCAAATAGCGCTCTCGTCGACTGACTTTTCAGGAATTGGTCTCATACCAAGAGGCCCAATTATCGACTTAGAATATGCAGATGATATAGTCCTGTTTGGTGAAGACTCTAATAAAATGCAGTCTTTTGGTAGCACTAGGCAACAAGCTAGGATGTTTGGGACGCGTTTCTTCCCTTTGCTTTAGGACTGGTCTGTGTCAACACCTATTTTGCTTTACAGCTTTGAAACGTGACCATTAAGAGTATAAGGTACTAGTATTTGATCACAGATGTCTTAGAGATATTGCCAGCATATACTGGGATCACCAGGCAAACAATAATGGGGTTAGACGTAGGGTATTAGAGAACGATGGTAAATCAGTTGACATGGTTATAAATCTTCATCGAGTGAGATGGCTGAGCCACGTGTTACGTATGGTCGAACACCGATTACCACGACGTGCAATGCTGACTAGTGTTGAGGATGTTTGTAAGAGAGGTGAGGGCGGCCTAACCAAGACGCTGTATCAGTCCTTGAAGTCCCTAACTTCTGGTTTGAGCCATGTTGGTAGATACAGACTACTTGGCTAGGAGCCGCGTGACTATCTTAACCATTAGTTTGAGATTCTGGGTGACATGGCTCAGAATTGGTCACAGTGTATACACTCTCTGTCTTCCGTTAAACAGTGAAATTAAAATTGCTTTATACCTTTATTTCTACCAACTAATTCTTTCTTTTCGTATTATATCTCCGTACACAATCTTTCTTTTATATAATACTACCATTGAAGTAACTGCTTCTATGAATTTGGTGTTCATCTTGTTGTGCTAATGAGGTATGGGAACTTGGATCGACGCATATATGTGCCTGGTACTATGTTGTAGCTGACTGACTAAGAAGTCAGTTTTTCTTTTTTTTTTAATGCAAAAGTTGTTTATCATACTCGTGTAAATTAACAGAAACTAAAATTGGAAAAAATTATGTAAAATCTTATCTATTTCTTTCATGCTTCATGAACTTTAATTAACTAGCTATTTGTTACAGTTCACGATGTCATCTATTGGTATATTTGAGCATATAAATCTAAGATGTATGTTGTATAAATAATTGTCTAATCTGTTTCAAATACACTTTTCTAGTATTGTATCTATTCTGTTTAGACGACTGAATCTCCATTAACTAGCCCAATTAGTTTTTGTCAAGTTACCACATGATTAACACTAGTGTATAACAACCAAAATCATGAGATTTCGTGTACATTTTTTAACACAATATATCCATTTGTCTAGGAAAATCTATCTCAGTAGGTCATTATTTCTACACGAGACCTTGAAGATACTTATAATTCTCATGTTGTTTTAATATAATTATAATGATTACTGTACTAATCACATTTTCGGTAATAAAATTAAAATTTTATCTTATGTGAGCCAATGATTCTATTGGAGTTTAGTTGACTTGATTGTTACTGTAATGAACTGATGCACACATTCACTGGTGCCTAAATTCACATGCACATACTGTGTACCTACCTCTTATAATACACTATACATTGTTCGATAATTTTAAGGCTAAATGGATACGAACGCAATCATTTTTATCCGACTCTGATACGATAATAACATCAATATCAGACTATACAATTAAATTTATTATAGGTCACATAAATACATAAATGATTACAAATGTGTTATTATTTAGACTATATGCCAAAACTCAATGTATGTGCATTTTGTACACTTTTGTTATGTATATACATTCATCCATTCTGTGTATAAATATGATAATGAAAATAGTCTCTACTATTATGTTTCACGTCTAAAAGTAACATCAATAACAAAGAGTATTAACTATGTCTGTGACTATACCTATGAATGTCGTTTAATCTCCCGTTTATAATAGAAGAAAAAGTATTAAACTCATTTATAATTATCTCTGAATTTTCATACCAGTGAAATAAACATCGAAATACCTAACCAGAGGATCATCGTGAATTACAGTGAAATCAGACGTTTCTCAATCTCTTTAATAAGCTTGATGTAAACTTGTAATACTTACATACATGTTACTTTTTGATGAGTACTTAATTTCGTTTAGTCCTATGTTTTGAAAGTCTTTGAAATGTTATTATCATAGGTATACATGCTTAAAACTATCGCTCTTACAGCTGCAATTCTTCATATATTACATTAGACTGAGAATTCTATTTGATGCAATGTCACAAAACAGTAAAATTATTTTGAATATTGTTAAATGCCTCTAAAGAAACAAACTTGAATAATATTTTTTCATTTGGAATTCTACAATGATATTATAACATCATTATATAAACAGTTGTAACACAAATCATTGTTAATTCGTATTATTATTTTTAATAATCCTCCTAGCCAAGTAATAATTTACAATCATCCCCTCGAACGGAGTCAATCACTAGTACAAATGTATATAGTTTGAACAAATTAATGGGAGATTATAAACCAATCAATTCGCACTCAGTATTATCATCGTCATCATCACCCGTTTCTGATTTTGTCGGTGCTGATGCTGCCCCTGGCAGCGGCAACGCTACTTGCCATGATGATCTTACCAATTCTATTGATTCTGAATTGACAGCCTGTAAAATACAACAATTACAACATGATATGGTGCAACTTGAAACTGCAATAAAGGATAACTTAAATGAACAGAAAGGTATGTTTTTTTACCTCAAAGATAATTCATTTCTCATAATAGTATAGAATTTCTTATGCTTAGAATGTACGATTTCCTAAATGTCGTTTTTTCGTCTTTAGAGATTGTTTATATTTTGTCATTCATACTGCCAACTTTAGGACTTTCATTTGGTATAGTTTGGCTTTCCATTATCATTTTATTTCTTAATTAAAGCCATGAAACTACAGGTCAGTATTTAAATCACTTGACTGTCATATCCTGAACATAGATTCGAATCGTACTTTGCTTACCGTGATTGGAAGCGACGTGTTCTATTATCAGCTTATTAAAGTTACGCTTAGAATTCTATAACATCAGTCTAGAATTAGCTTCGTTTATATAAGTTTCGGCCAATCTATCATCTGTAGTTACTGGTTTAGTGTCATTGATGAGGGTCATACCTTAGTCTTGATTCGGTTGGTACCTAATATAGGTAGGTATGCACTAACGCTTGGTTCTGTCAGCGTACATTTAAATTAGTGAAGTATTGATTCGTGTCGTAGATTTTGTTTGTATGTGTACGTGTATAGGGTAGAGATACCACTTGACTATGTAAATTAAAACCTATGAAAGATGGGAGGGGTTCTAAATCTACACCTCACTATTTGGGAATTCAGTGTTCAAGCCACGGAATCGTACCTCTAACTATGCAGTTTGATTTGTTTGTCATTCGTTTGGAGAACTTCCCGAAGCAATTCGTTTAACAGAAATAAATGTTAATTAATGTGTTCAATTTCTATCGATACCGACGCCTGAGTGTATAGAAGATATTATATATAAAATTAAATATATAATAATCTCAATGATCTTAATGAGTTCCGACGTTTTATTTGGTAATCTTATCTGAGCTTGTTCGTGGAAATAATCAAAATAAACAACAACTAAAGAAGCAGTGGTAGAGAAGTATGCCATGTTATATGGTTTCTAGATCAGCTGAAACCATGGTTTTAGCGTTAGTTCTAAGTTATTTCTTAATGTCCAAGTTTTCATCACCTATACCCCTCTTCCACTATTCTATTTACCCTGGTAGATTGAAGTGACTGGTACTTGGGGCTTATATAACTTATAATTCTAAATATTATAAACGGTTACATTGTTATTGTCAAAATGTTTCTATAAATCTGTTTTTTGGCTGATTTTCAAATATAAGTTGGTACACCAAATACATCATCCACTTCATTGTGTTTATAGTTGAAATAGTAGCATCAAATAACTCTCGTTTTAAATAACCCAGAGTTGATTATTTTTGCAAATAGGCGAAATTCGGATTACTCTTTCTTTTTTTTTTGCTATAATAAAACTTTCAGAATCCAAATCACTTTGAAGTACATAATGTGTATATTTCCTTTCCTCCTATTTTCTCTTACTTTTTTGTTTGTTATTATTATTGCGAACGTTTCACATGCTATTTATGCATAGACTTTAAACTAGGTTAACACTTCTAGGTAATCAATTAGACATGTGAACTATATATATATATATATATATATATATATATATATATATATATATATATATATATATATATATAATATTTGGTAATTTAAAGGCTATTTTAATCATGGCTATTTAAAAAATTATAATTTGCCATTTGGTCGATGGTAATCGATTGTCATCAGAAAGTGTTGTGATCATGCACGCAAGATACTAAAGTAAATATACTGATCAGCCTTTATTTGCATATGAACAATTAACCTGGTGTTCGACACATTGACCTTTCGAAAATGCTGTTAATTTTGAATCGTTTTTACTTATTACGGGTTTTTCTTGATGTAGAGTATAGTTGTACTTTTATTTAATGGACGTATAACTAACAATTATATGTGGTAGGTTGTTGTATGTTTAAACATTCATTTTTTCCTAAAAAAATTAGTTCTCCATTGGAATTTAATTTTACATATTTTTTTAAGGGATGAGTTTCTGTACTACTCACAATTTAGTAAAAAAAAAGCATGTTTATTTTCACAGAATTGCTTGTCAATCAACATTTTTCTAATATTTATTCACCAAGCATTTGTTCGTCTACGAAAAGTCGAGTAAAGAACCATACAACTTGTTCGACAAATAGATATCATAAAGCTTGACAAATGCACGTTGGCCGAAGTTGTCATACTACATTAGTGCGACAAGATGAATTACGAGTGAAATTGATATGATGTAGTAGTAACAAAAACAATAACTTACGCCTGTTACTTGCAATGGAGCATAGGTCGCCGACCAGCATTCTCCAACCCACTCTATCCTCAGCCTTCGTTTCTAGTTCTATCCAGTTTTTGTTCATTCTTATGTCTGTCTCTATTTCTCTGCGTAATGTGTTCTTTGGTCTTCCTCTTCTCCTTTGGCCTTCAGGGCTCCATGTGAGGGCTTGTCTTGTGACACAATTAGCTGATTTCCTCAAGGTGTGCCCAATCCATTTCCAGCGCTTCTTCCTCATTTCTTCCTCCGCTGGAGGAAGAAATGTGTGAAGGAATACTGGAGTTTAAGATATGACAATGGCGAGTGAGTACTTTTGTACTATTGTGAACGATTCTGATCTATCTCAGCCTAAGTCTTCAACCACTGATGCCAGTTATCACGCGTACCTCAACTACATTGTCTACGTCTATCACTGTAGTACAAACCAACGACTACTTATCACATATAGAAACTTGGTTATTTTACTTATTGATGTATTTTTTTTAAAGAGAAATTGTATAGAAGGGAAATGACGAAGATGTAAGCGGAATCCTAATTTCAATTTACGCTCTAGTTTCGGTGAATGCAAAATGTATGTTTCACATCATGTATAATTGTATTCTTTCCACCAAAAAAAACATTTCCAAAAAATTGGTTTGCTTTATAACATTTTTGTGTAATACAAGTGAAAATCTTAATCATCACTCTTAGCCTATAACTAGTTTCATTTAAACTTTGTGCCGTGTCCAAAGTTTATTGATTGTCTGGTTGTAAAACAAGTAGCATTATTCATCATTATATTCTTTTAATTCAAACAAGTTTATATGATGAAAATTTTCTCTACATAACAAGAAAGAAAAGCTGTTCAGATTTATGAGACAAATTATCGTCATTGTTATTGTAGAGCTTAACACACAAATCTCATTCAACTAAACCATTAAAGGATCTAAATTTTTAAAAAAAAGCGTCTGTCGGATTTATAATTTGTGTCTCACTTTCATTTTAACATTATTTAGAGAATAATTTGAAATGAAATTCAGGCTAAAGCATTCAACTTATTCATTTATAACATAGAATAAGGTACAGAATTGAAATATATCAAAATAATAAACTATTGGCTGTAATCAGTACAAAGTAATGAATTAGAGAACATTTATCATGGAAATAAATTGAGGTTAATTTTTAGTAAAAATCAATGTGTCAGAAAAATGCACAAGATTATGCTGTTTTAGTCGAAGTGAAATAATTAGGAGGACTATACGAAAATAACAGTGTTATTTCAATTATACATTGCTTATGTTCTATATAGTTAATACTGAATTAAGATGGGTTTCAGACAAACTAAAACGTCAATTAAAAATATGATGGTATTATTGATATATGTGACTGTCATTAACGACTTATGTTGTTGATTAGTTAATCAGTCATTCATAAAACAACTAAGGGCTTTGCACAAATGTATATTAGTCCAGGTTGTCAAACTTTTAATCATCACATCGAAAGGAAATCGAAAGAGTTGAAGCACAAAATAGTATCAATGATAGTAAGTGCTATCACACCAAGATATGAAATCAGTCTACGAAGTTAACTGAAAATTTGAATTAAGAGGAAATATACAGGTTTCTTGATTGGGAAAGTAGATGATAATCTTAATAATCAGGATGAATTAATACTAACCGTGTTTTATCATTCATTTTTAAAGTGACGTACATATTGAACATGAGTTTTTGAGTAACTTACATGATAGCTGTGCGAATAACCAACATGACTAAACCATACTACTTTGAATCACTAATATTAAATTATGAACACTTTATTCTATTTATTAAACCGAATATTCTCATTGTATACAAATTTTTAAAAAATATGTCTTTGTTTTCTGGTTCTTTCTGGTTGGTTTCAAAATGATAGCTTCATATCGTTTAACGTTGCCATTTAACGTATAAAGGCAAGCTAGTTTAGTGATCACTTACCGATGAGTATATTAGGCTATCAGCTGTAGTTGTTGTGTGAAGGTAAGACAATATTTCAAATTCACCATCCAAAAATGGTCAGTTTCAATAACTAAACACCTGAACCCACAGTTTTACAACTCAACCATCAGGAAAAGGAAGATCATTGAGATTAGCTCAGTTCAAAGATAGTTCCTGCTACACACTGTTATCAGCTGAAAAATAAATGGGAACAGCTGTTTTGCCCTGATTTGCGACTCCTCAACAACACACCTTGTCAAAGTTACACATTGTAATTCATTTTGCGTGCATGTACTTAATTAGAAGTTTTGTTAGTTTCAACCCCATCACACCTAATTTATTTCTAGTAACAATGCCAAATAGCAATCTAATTCCTGAGCTCAGATGTACTAAATATTCATTCTTGTCGTTGTTTTTGTAAATAATGTATTATTCTCTTTTACAGAATTGAATGATCGATTATTTGAACAATTGGCTGAAGTATCGAAACCGGAAAATAATAAAAATAAATCATCATCCTCCTTGTTGTCATTGTCATCATTATCAAACGACCAATCTGTCTCCCATGAAAGTGAAATTAAACGTATGTATAGTGAAAAGTTAAAAACACTTAAAAAACAATTTAAAGCATTAAATGAACAATTACAAACAACACGTTATGTTATTTCCAAAACGACAACATGTAAGTTGTAAGTTTGATATATACTGTTCTGTAAAAACACATAATTATATTAAAAAAACATTGTGAACATTTGAGGGTTATAAGATAGTTTGCAGATATTATCAAATATTCCGAATTCTTTTGTTTTATTAACTGTTTATGACGCAATCAAACATGAAGGCATCTTTCCTTCTTTTCATATCCAGTAGTATAAATCAGTTTGATACTTTCTCAATTGTACTCATGACCATATGATACAGCTTTAAGCACACAGATCTTCAGTTAGTGCTCTTAGTTTTAGTCATCATTAATTTACAACACTTCGTTGTTGATCACTCATTTCAGGTTCCAAAAGTTATGATTTCATAATAATGCAACTTGAAACAGCTGTTGCTCAGTTAAAAATGACTGAATGAGCTGAGTCATATATTGTCGAATAAGTCACATGTAACCCAATTGTTTAAAGCTATGGTATTCTTTTATTTATGAAAAAAATGAGGATGTAAATGTGGTGCTGTAGGATGTGAGGTGAGCATTGATTTCTTCGGTGTAAATATATCCCGGTTGACATGATTGGTTTAGTTGCTTCATGTTTAAGCGATATTGGCACAGCTAGTGATGATCTAGACGATTGAATAGGCTTCATATTGAAATTATTGAGGTATTGACCACTGGTAAGAAATTGAATTGGAATAAACAAAGTATTAAAATTACCGACCGTCTTAGAATTATAAATACATTTAGCCGGCAGTGTATTCGATTGTCTTGTAGGTGTTTTACACAAATGAACGTTTGGATTCGATATACGTGTCAGTAATGTTTTTGCTAATTCATGACTGTGGTAAAGATCAGATGGTGCTGGCATTTGATTAGTGTAATTACTGGTAATACTGCTATTGCAAGGCAATTGTTGATGATTAGTGATCGTAGATGTGGAAGGAAGACCTAACATAAAATATATATGATATTCCTAATGAACATTGTCAAAGTTGTAATATCAAATAATATAATTTGCAATATTTTTCGTCATTAATTTACACTGATTATGTATGCAGTGATGATAAACTGATTCTGGTTTCTGATTTGACTTAAAACTACTTTCGGCAACATTGCACGCTCAGGTCAGTCAATCAATCGATCAATCGTCCAGATAGTTGTTTTGTTCACATATGTAATAAAACTAAGCTCAAACTTATTTTAAATCGGTACATAATATGACAGTGGCGTGTGCTCCTAGCCCACACGTATTTCGATACAGATATCAAATTTAAAATAATAAAAACATAAAATTAGACAAAAACATTTCCTTTCTTTGTTTTTCCTAAAAACTTGATAAACGGATATTTTTTTCTCATCTTATACTACATGTATACTGTCAAAACAATAGAATTGGTCACATTTCACTTAAAAATAGATAAACAATAAACAAATTATGCACACCAGTATACTCAGCCAACTGGACATTTATTGACATTATTTTAAATTTGGAACATTTGCAAAAATATAAACTTGTTTGTAAGTGAACTTGTTTTTTCTCACTAATTTTTGTCATCTAAATAGGATTTAAATCAAATAAGGAAGTTTGTAAAATAGATTTCCATTAAGGACTGTAATACGCCAGTTGGTGAACCAGTGTAAAAGGATAAGGTGTAACTCTAGTAACTTACGTACTTTATAGTATATACGATTGCGTTAAAGATCTATAAAAAAATAAGATTGTTCTTAACTGTTGATGATGGGGATCTTATCAATGCAAAACTTGTTACAAATAAAAGAATACCATAGCTTTAAACAATTGGGTTACATGTGACTTATTCGACAATATATGACTCAGCTCATTCAGTCATTTTTAACTGAGCAACAGCTGTTTCAAGTTGCATTATTATGAAATCATAACTTTTGGAACCTGAAATGAGTGATCAACAACGAAGTGTTGTAAATTAATGATGACTAAAACTAAGAGCACTAACTGAAGATCTGTGTGCTTAAAGCTGTATCATATGGTCATGAGTACAATTGAGAAAGTATCAAACTGATTTATACTACTGGATATGAAAAGAAGGAAAGATGCCTTCATGTTTGATTGCGTCATAAACAGTTAATAAAACAAAAGAATTCGGAATATTTGATAATATCTGCAAACTATCTTATAACCCTCAAATGTTCACAATGTTTTTTTAATATAATTGTTTTTCACACATCAGTATCGTACATAGCCAGTTATCTAATCTTTGTTTTGATGCATTATTTTGTGGATCAGTTGGTTAACTATGGAAATAATAATAACACTTGACTCAACATTATAAATTTCTTGAGGTTTTTTAGAACATTGGGAAGCAGAAAACCAATAAATAGTGTGTAAAGAAGACTGAAAAATACTGTACACATTTGGTGAGAAAATATTATCACTTACGTAAATTACTATTCACTTTCTCTGGAATATTTTCATCACTATGAGATCAAAGTTTATTAACCTGTATTAGTTGACGATCGAAAGATTTAATTCAAAATGATGCAACAAAGACTAAGGACTATACAAAATGTAAACAAAACACATCTTTAAGACATGCACAAGTGACGACTATTTTACAGTCAAAGGCTTGAAAAAAATGAAATATGTTGATAACGAAACGAAATCACCATGTATTTTAAACTACACTTAAGTGAAAAAAAGATTACCAACTTGAATACTACACGCGGTGTAGACAAATAAGTTGTACATTAATCTAGTAATTGACGACGATTATATAAACTCTAGTTCTTGTAATTGTAAAATACAAAATTACTGATTTTATGGGTTTAATCTCGTATGCCCAAAGCTTTGAACACATTTATGGTTTTTTTTGTAATCATCCATACTTAATAGTGTAGTTTCAACCTCATAAAATAGTTTACATTCACGTTTACCGAAAATTAACTCAGTATAGGGATGTGGAGATTGTTGAGTTTAGATTGATATCATGAATAGATCAATGTTAGACCACCACTGAAAACCTAGAAGCACTGGACAGCCGTCTCGTCATAGTATGGGACTCAACAGTGCACATCCACGTTCTCGCACACGGGATTCATAATGTGTTCGAATACAATTAGTTCGACTCCCTTTATTTCTTTATTTTCTTTCTGTATTCAATCATTTTGTGTTAATGAAATATATTGGTGTAAACCAAGTGGGAATTAAATACAGTCTTTGGGATTCAATTTAGGTCGACAAAGTCTACTACAAAAATAGTTCCAAACTTAGATCCCTGTAGAAAACATTTACAATTACGATTATTTTATTCTTTGTAAATGTTATTTGATCTAGTAGGTTTACCTTTATTTTTAGCACAAATCGAACGAAGAAATTCTTCAATCTAATCAAGTAATCAACATGTCTCCACATTACAACATTTAGATTTACATTCATAGGTTAGAAGTACTTGGTTGCTCAAGCTTATATCATATCAAAATTTAAACGATCAATTTGGCACAAATTAGGCACTAAGTATATGGGAGTCAATCTATGTAATATTATGTTTAAAATAATCTCACTAAATGAAATTTAAATAATTTCTACACTTTGCTTGCCTAACTGGGTCCCTAAAGTAGTTCGGATTGATTTGCCTGGTGAAGTACTGAAATTATTTCAGTTTCAAATTATCCCAAATATAATATTTACATCTGATAACTTATGTTTCCCCACAATTCATCGGATTATTTTAATAACTACAAATTATACTAAACAATTTCGCTGTTTTGTATACTGAAATTTGTTGTATACTATTATTTCTAGATGATGATAGTGCGTATCGTAAGAAGAGTTCTTCACGTCCTGTCGGCTATTCATTCTTTACACCTAAGTAAGTTTTTTTCTTTCACAATTTATATTTTATACATTATTATTACTGTATTAAAAGAAGCTTCAGTTAGTATGCACTCTGGATTAGTATTATTTATTGAATTCAAGTGGCAAATAATTTGTTTGTGTGTAATAAAGTAGGGCAATTACCAACGTCTCAATGTTTTTTTTCTTGAATCAGAATAATGTATAGAGTAACATCCTGCTACGTTTAAATAAATGATCTTTAAGTCGTGTAATAAAGTGCACAAAATGAAATGATTCTTAACATCTGACTGCTCAAATTTGAGGATGTACCTTTTCATTGGATATTTGTCAATGCATGTTGGACTTACTTAAAACACTGAATAACAGTTTAAGCCATATCGTTCCTATTGCACTATGTGTCCAGAGGATTTAGTGATGTTGAGTGTTGTTATCGCATTTAATCCTAGACCTCTTCAAATACATAGAATGATTTCATAATCTGAAGACAATTTAGAATATACAATAATGTACTATGCTAAACTACTTCACTGATAAAAATTTTATTACTTACTACTAAATTACTTACTCGTTCTTCAGCTACAGTCTTCAAATCCTTGTTTTTGAATTAGTTTCGAAGTTTATCCGTTATTATTTTTTCTATTCCTTTAAACTTTATCATATATATGTATATTTAAACCAAAGCATAGTCATTGGTCAGCGTCGTCCTTTCTTTCTATTGATCAACTCTTCAGGTGTCCGTTATGGAGTTGATTTCGAAACACTGTACTGGATACTGATAGTAACAAATGGTCATCATTGCCATATTCCCTTCAGTTTGCAGATTATTATTTGCTTTCCGCCGTAGGATAATGATACCATTGTCTATGTATCTTTCTACTTTGCTTATTCTACCTACTTCAATGTTCCCTACTATGTTTACTACATTCTATCATTTGCTATCCTGTGTATGTTTCGGTAATTTCAACAGAATAGAAATTTTTATTTTATCTGAACTGTGACCGCTGATTACAAGAATACTACAATACATATATAGTGTTATGGGATTAGCCAGCGTATAAGTGTAGTTCAAGTTTCGAAATTGCTACTATGTGTACACTAACTTTTCCACGAAAAATAATTACCAACTTTTCAAATACACTTAGTTCACTTCATAGAACAAAGTTTTCAGCTAACTTATGGAGCATGTCAATGTTATGGGGAAAAGTAACCACGATTCCCAAGTATTATCTGCATTTGATTTGGCATCTGAGTTTTTGTTGACAAAAACATTTGTTACAGTTGGCCCTGAAAATGCATCATATATTACTATGAAACAATGTTGTGGAACAGAAGTAACAAAGTTATTGAAATGGATGAAGAATGTTAAGGTTACAGTATAACCGAGACTGTAGTTCAGAATGATTTGTATCACTCTTATCTTACATTCACAGCGTCCCAATATTTTGAAATATTACTCGAACTAAAACCTCTTCACCTCAGTTCATGAAACTTATACCCTTAAATCTATTATTTTAAACTGTAATCAATAATTCGTTGATGATGTCAATCACGCTCAGATGCATGTTACTAGGTCTCGTCACCAAATATGTGTAATCCTTCAGTCAAAACTGTCGCGACGACAGGTTAATCGACATCTAAAGTCATGGCCCACTACTTAGAATCCTGTAATATTCCTCTATGTAGACTAACTGCTCCACATGGCTAATGGAGCGATTGGGCTAACAAGATTAACTTTGACTTAAAATAATCTTAATTCCATCGGTCAGCACCGTAATAAGTGCAAGAAAAGGAATCAATCAGTCGGATGAATATTCTCTCCCATGAGCTATACTTTCGAACACTGATCAATAATTCACTGAGGGTGGTTTGAGTGGCCTGTATTTCATTGTACAGTAAGATAATATTATGAACTTACGTTTTTTTAAAAACAATCAGTTCCGTGAACAGAGTACTACTTCTAACCTCTTGAAGTTTTGGAAAGTAGGTTGTTAGATTTGTGTATAGTTCCAGTTCATTCCATACTTTTCCGTCTGATGAGTAACGGCCATGTAACACATGACAATTTCTTTTAAACGTATTAGATGTACGACTGTTCACGTCAGTAAAGCAAAGCGCTATTATTATTCCGTCTTTAGATAGTCTCTTAGTTACACAATGACATCATAAATTTATTATATTCAACAATAAACGAAGTTATCATTCTGTAATAATATTGAATTCACTATCCAAAAATTTACTACAGTTTATTCTCCTAGTTTTAGATAATATTTCCTGAATGGATTATCTATATCCCCTTCTGATTAAAACATTAGTCTATAGTTTCTCTCCTGTTGTAGTATTGAAAATTTTATGTCAAGCTTTTATTTTGAGTTTTTTAAAAGTACACCTACCAGCTGACTTATTATTCTACATATGATTCCTTAAATACTTTCATTTAGCGTGACTTACTTAAATTGGCTGATTAACTTGTAAGCACTTTTGTTAAAATAACAGTTTTCGTTTCTCTTGCTAACAACGTAATATAGAAAAAATTATTCAATTAAGAGAAACACGTGAAAAACCGGAAGAGTGAATAGTAATGAAATATGTCTGTTAAGTAAAGGGCAAAACTTAAATTATATAAATTGACTTATGCCATGTATCCCTAAGAGTTCATATATAGAAAAACCATTCACGATTTATATATATATATATATATATATATATATATATATATATATAGAGAGAGAGAGAGAGAGAGAGAGACTTGATCTCTTTAAATTTGTTTTCCATTTTACTGATTACCGTATCATTCTGCACAACTTTATTCTCATTAATTGTATATAAATCTCAATTACATTGATTTGCGTAAGTTTTTTAAACTGACTTACTCTATACCAAAGCAGTAGAGATTTGATTCTACTGTCAGTCTTTCTCTATTGTTTTAAACATTTGAGAAGTTTTGCTAATCTGTGGTATACCTGGTTGTATTTTGTTAAGAGAATCTACTTATTTCATATTTCCGGCATTTATGTATGCTTAGTATTATAATTATTTCATAATCGTGTACTGTTATGTTTATCTCATATATTCTCATGGATTTATCTAAATTTTATTTTTATTGTAGCGATCGAAAGAAACATAAGAAAATGACAAAAAGCCATTTGGCCACATCCAATTTGTTGTATCCTGTAAGTTATTGTTTTCAATGGTAATTTGAATACCTAGAGCAATTGACAGTATTCAGGCTTAACGAATTTCTAGAGAGAAAATGAAATATTTATGAAAAAACTAATTCATTCCTTAATATTAACAATGGGTCAGTTGAAACCCTTTCTAATATTAACGTGAACACTATACCTGTTGAACAAGTTAGTGGCTTTCGGGACTCGGTAGCCCAGTAGATAATACTTTAATTTTCGGAGCGAAAAGTACTGGGTCTGAGTCGCAGTGTGAATATCAACACCAAAATACATTCACCTGACAAGTCCTAATGGCACGAAACATAGGTTTTATATATTCCACTGCTAGCCACAATCCAGCTGTTTTAAAACCCAATAGTCCCACTAAAATAATTTATTTGAATAATAATTCTTCCAACGCAAAATGTTTTCTACCCTTATTGTTTTGATTTTTATATTTGAAAGGTACCTATATCGTCCCAATTATTATCTTTCAACTTTCGATTAGTGGTTGTACTCAGTATATGACTAATTCCATGTAAAATCTTATATATTGACCAAGATATTACTGTTTTGTTATACTTCCTATAAGCCTAATTTATCCAGTTTCGTATGAAGTTTACATCGATTCACTATTAGGATTTAAAATTCTGTTTAATAAAGGTAGAGAGAAAATTTTCGAAAACTCTCAAATAACATTACAGTTCTGATAGGCACTTGCTTGTGCAAGTGGACTCAGTATCTGAGTAGATAACGCGATGGCGTTTGAAGCGAGGGTACTGGGTTCGAGTCCCAGAGTGAAGATCAACTCTGAGATGCAGTACATCCATCTACCGAGTCCCAAATAGGACGAAACGTGCGTCCTGGGTTCCACTGCTAGCCACTATCCATCTTTGCTTACAACGCTTGTGAAATAAGGCTATATCGAGGCAATACCCACAGTATGCACATATGCCAATAAGAGACTGACCAGTCGCAGTCCTAAACATCAATGGGAGGATTCAAACAAGTAATACTAAGTGAAGTTAAACATTACTTTTTGTTGTAAATTATAATTCAGAGGAATATGATATTCAACAGTTTATAGGTTTCTTTATGTTTATCAAACAACCTTAATTGTTTCTCTCTACTGACAGCTCTTAATATTACAAAAAATGGGATTTCAGCTGCTCTTCCTTATTTTCGTTTGTAAAATGTATTACAACTTGAAATAATTTGTGGTGAACGAGAAAGTGATAACCCAATAGTTTTTATAGTTTCCTTTGTTTATTTTCGTTCACTTTAGGATCACCCTAACCTATCACTTCATTTAAGATGCAAATCATTAATTTCTTTCCTAATCAAGCTTTATATTTTAAATATACAAATACATTTTCGTGACACTAAAGTCTAATCTAAAGATCTACTTTTCCTTCTAAACTTCAATCCATATATGTATGATCGGCTTTAGTAGTTATCTGTCAATGGTATAATTGATTTTCACGCGTTATTCCATATATATATATATACCGAAAGTCGTTTCTGTCAGTATCACTGGAACAGTTATTTCTATATTTTACTCGGTTCAACGAATGCTAATGTCAATAAATTGTACTGATGAACGTTTTAAAGTTGAATTTCATTTTTATCCTAATGATTAATTAGTTAAACGATTTCATTCATTATCGTTAATAAATCTGTCCCTATTTGACCAATTATTTTCGATTAATTACTGTCATTGTTTTATCTATAATTAATAGAAATAATTTGTAAGCTAATTAAATTGTAACCAATTTATTTATAATTACACTATAGAATACTGTGAGGAAAAAAGAATGATCGATTAGTTCTTTCTAGAAGTTATATTACTTCGAATTGTTACATTTAATTTCAAATGACTGAGTTCATTATTCACATTGTTTATTTAGTTAAATGTACAGTCTGTACGGTATTTGCATGACAATTTTATTTTTTTAATATTTGCTGTCTTTAACAATTTGATGAATTTCTTTACGAAAACTTTCATCGTAGATATTCTCATATGATTGGATATTATGTCTACAGAGTTTCGATTTGTGAAAATGTCAGTGTAATTGGTTTATAGCTTCTTGCATATTCACTATGAGTTGTTACTGGTGAATTACATGTTGAATGTAATATGAAAGTCAGAGATATGATTGCTAAACAACTAACTTATTTTCAGCCTCCTACAAATTTCACCATAACATCTTGTTAACAGGATTAATCCAAATGTATATTTTTGAGTACAACATTATCGAAAGTTAAATCAATTCACCTAAGAAGGTGTCTTCAATTAGTGTTTTTAAGATATTTTAAATCTGAATATACACATGGTAAAGTAGTGGGATCGAAATCTGTTTCAGCACTAGTAATCTGAAGAGTTTTTGTCCAACAAAGTTATCTGACTGTTGCCAGCAATCTAACATTCTATAATCATAGTTTGTAATTTGATATAAGACAGTAACAATCAGTTTATAACTCTTCTTGGCATATTTTACTAATTAGCTGCGTCTCTGACTCCCCATTCTATATGTAGACTTGAGCTAAATGAAACTGACTGCAATTTATATGTTAATATTTCGAAATCTGTCAACAAAATATCTTCAATAATAATATTAAACATAGAAACCTATGATTTTAATGAAAGCTGATATATATATTTAATATTGGAAGCGTCTAAAGTTTCATATGTTTTTAATCTAGATTTCGTTTGATTTTCATTTTCTGTCAAGTTTTCCTTAAAATAAAATAAAAACACTGATTAGTCGCTTTTACTGTTGGCTTACATAAGTCTAATTGATTTTTTATGTATATTATTACGAACACAATACTTAGTGATACGTTTCAAGTCATTTAACTTATAGTTAACTCACTTGTCAACTAATTCCTTATTATGTTTCAATGTTTTGCTCATGTAGGTATGTGTGTGTGTGTTCATTCTTAATATTTACGTTAATAAAACTGACCACTTTATATGTGTAAATCTCAACGAAAAGAATAGAACACTTACTGCAATTATATGACTATTGGTTTGACTTTTGGCTATTGATTGACCTTGTTTAGTATATGAGATAGAAGCTTTCACGAAATTTTCGGTAGTGATTTTTTTGGCTTATTGATTTCAGCTTCTTGTATTTCAAAAGATCTGTATGATACTTCATTTGCTTAGGTTTAAATAGTCAAGTGATGATAACATTAAAAATCATTGTTCATGATCATTGTAATTTCCTTGAGATTATTTATCTTTGTGTATAATTCAGAACAATATTAGCTTTATTTAAAGAATGAACTTGTTCAATCATCGATAAACCATTAGAATATTGAAAATGTGATTAATCATAATAACAACATAAATTTATTCGAATATAGTCTTTACATTGATCTGATATAACGGGGGAGAGAATAATTGTTATCTTGACAGCGGTAGTTAAAAAACTTGGGAAAAGGCTGATAAACAACCTCACTTTGTTTACATAATCTTTGCTAAAAACGTTTGGTTGATATTGGTTTTGGAGTGTTTATTAATGAAATATCCTCTCTTTCACACACACGTACATTTGGAATGCCTCAATAATACTTCGTATAATAAGTTGAGTTCTGAGATTTTGTCAACCTCATACTCTTTGTCTTCTAAATAAGACAATCCTAAGCTTCAAGGTATTAAATTATTCTCTTACTTGACTACACTGCTCACTGGGTTTAACTCAACTGAATTCCTTCACATATCTAGTATTTTTCTTTCGACTGATCTATTAACATTACTTCTACTTGTTGTTATAATGTATGTACGGATACATAACTACTATTAGTGATATCGTTTACTTTCAAATAGCTGAAATGACTATGGAATATTAAGACGGTAGTTCATTGCTTTCAACTAATCAAATGCTAAAAAAAATATAACTGACAGGTAAACTGGTTGGTTTTTAAGTGATATCATTTGTGAACCTGAGTCGTGCATGTATTACAAGTCATGATTATAAGTGGCCTGTTTATTGAAAACACTGAACGTTACATAATCCTAGTTGTCAATGAAATATTCCTGCATTCAATGTTCTCATGGTTAGTTATAGAGTATCATATGCTCTAGCCATTGGCTTCGTCTAAATATCTTTTCATCGTCCCCAAGTAAAGTTGAAATGAAGTGCTTTATAAAATTAATAATCCTATGATCAAAATAGGTTTGTGGTGTTTCTGTTATTTATATAACCTTCTTCAAGTTGTCGAATCAGCACAGCAGTGTGATTAACCAAGCGATTTTGACAATCGGATAGTATTTATATAACCTAGTGCTCTGATATAATGTACTTTACTTAAACTCCATTTGTAGCTACCATTATTTACCTCAATAGAAGAAAAAATATACTAGCATTTAGTAAAATGAAATGATATAGCAGTAAAATTACTTTTCAGTTATTTCCTCATCATGACTTTACACTTTATGTAAATATACGCCAAGCACTTTAAACAAATTGATCCATTTAAACTCTGCCCTCCGAGTTCAAGGAAGAATTATGACACCTCAGATGAAAGCAGAGATTCTTCGAAATTCAGTAGGCCGATGACCCTTCTAACAACCAGAGCAACGCTTTTTATAGGTACATTGAACAACTGGGGAGAGAAAAGAAAACATGAAACAACTATGCGGTACAACGAAGAAACTAGAAGGGAGATGTAGTAAACCAGTGAGACCAGTAAAGGATAAACAAGACAAGACGATCGCTGAGATTCAAGGGCAGAGGAACAGATCGGTAGAATAATACGAGAAAGTCTTTACTAGGTCAGCTCCATTAATACCACCGAACATCAAAGCAGCACCTACCGACATTTCTATAGATGTCACTTCACTAATGATCGAAGAAACCAGAAAGGCCATCGGACGGTAAAGCAGTAGGACTTGACAATAAATCAGCTGAAACACTGAAGTCAGGCATTGAAGTAACTGCGAACATGCTTCACGTCCTATACAAGAAGGCTTGGGAGGTGGAACAATTGCCGACGGACTGGAAAGAAGGACACCTCATCTAGATACCAAAGAATGCAGATCTGAGCAACTGTGAGAACTATAAAGGCATCATGCTACTGTCAGTACGAAGAAACGTTTTCAACAGAGTGTTGCTGAACTGGATAAAAGATGAAATGGGCACCCAGCTTTGTAATCAACAGGCTGGATTCCGTGAGGATCGGTCGTGTGCAGACCGATTGGCGACACCATTCATCGTCATTGAACAATCAGTTGAGTGGAACTCGTCACCATATATCAACTTCATTGACTATGAGAAGGCGGTTGACGGTGTGGACTGAAGAACAATCTGGAAACTCATTTAACACTATTAAGTTCCTGAGAAGATTGTCAACATTACCCAGAACTCATACGATGAACTGCAGTGCAAAGTCGTGCATGGACTACAGTTGAGAGATGTATTCGAGGTAAGGCTGTTTACTCTCCCCCTTTCTCTTCTGGTGGTCGACTGGATTATAAAGACGTTGACATCTGGGGGAAAGCATAGAAAGTATCGGACAGCTTGAAATCGATTAGAAAATTTGGTCTTTGCAGATAACTTAATCCTTCTATCCCATACACACGAACAAATACAGATGAAGACAACTAGTGTAGCAGAAGCCTCTGCATCAGTAGGCGTCAACATACGTATGTGAAAATCAACATACTCAAATACAACACGGAGAACGCCAATCATCCTAACCACATTTCATAGTGAAACTCTGGAAGATCTGGAACCTTTCACCTACCTGGGGAGGAGGATCTGATGCTGGCGCAAAGGTGAGGGTTGTCAAAGTTGGGGCCACCTTTCTACAATTAAAGAACAGATGGAACTCAAAATAATTGTCAACCAATATCAAAGAATCTTCAATACAAACGTCATGACAGTCCTACTCTACGGAACTGAAAAGTGCAAAACAACTACAATCATTATCAAGAAGGTACAAGTTTTTACAAACAGTTGTCTACTCAAGATACTCAACATTCAATGGCCTCATACCATCAGCAACAGCCTTCTATGGGAGAGGACAAACTAATTTCCATCTGAAGAGGAAATTAGAAAAAGACGTTAGTGGTGTATAGGATATATATATATATATGTCATATTGTAGAATCATGAGGAAAACTACGTGAAGAGAAATTCTCACTCGATTCGTTCTTTTTTACTGAATGTAAAAATAAGAATTGTCTCTGTGTACTAGCATGAAATATGATTCGTTTACGTGTTCTGTTGACTTGTTTACTTTGGATCAAATTTATTTGTGATTCATTAGAAAGAATTAAATGTTTTCGAAAATAGTTTCTATGCTGTACAATCGTATTTATCGAACATTTCTTGTATTCAATAGTCTACCATTAAGTGGAGGAGTGTTACAGTATTATCCAAGATAGTCAAACGTACGTATTATAAGTCTATAAAAATGGAGTAATGTTGCATACCTTAACAAATTGGCTACAAATCATTAAATGATTTCAAGTGTTGAGTATAATAAATCTAAATTAAAATGGGGATGTGGGCAGATTTTAGTAATTTTAATAGTTGATTTCATAAGTCGATGTAAGCTAGACCACCATACGAGATCATGGATGCTCATAGCTGAGGAGTCCTAAACAAGGCGAAACGACTGTATAGTGCTCCCAGGTTTTCAATGGTTGTCTAGCTTACATAGGCCCATGAATTAAACTATTAAAATAAATCTATGAGTTTTATTTCAAAATAGTTAAATTTATCGAAAGATTTACAAGTACTGAATAAGTTGGGTGTTGTATCGTTCAGCGAAGTAGTCAGAAATTATCAAGGCATAGGGGTACGCAGTAGTCTTAGAAGTAATAAATATACACAACCTGTTCTAAATACTTGTTGATTATTAAAGCTCATTTCAGTGAATGTAAAATGCTTTTTGAATTATGCAATTCATTTAGTAATAAATAAAGTGTAAGGTTTAGTGAATTCGCTGATTCCTGAATAAAATGAAAAACCATTGATTAGAACTATTAAGGTAACTATTGGTAGTTTCTAATTTACTGAATCTATTTACGGGAATTCTTTAGTTTTTTAAATACACAAAGCTCACTGTTAACATTTTCAAACTCGATCAGATAGTTTTTCATTAATTGTCAAATAAAAGATATACCTTTGATGGCTTGTGGAATGTCAGTGATATTCTCTCTGTCAAGTAAATGACGAGCTATTGCACTGTTTATAGCCGTTGCTCCTGTAACTCTCAAATCCCTTGGGACGTGCTCTGAAATACGAATATGTTTTCCCTCAGTTCTTCTAATGTATGTGCTTTGGTAAATGCAGTTGGAGGTGCTGAGAAGAGAAGATCTGACAGTATTCATTTTTGTATTGTTTGTTTGAGTCTTCCCATCTGATATTTGAGACCACAGTTGATCACCTTCCTATTGCCATATGTGTATCCTGTGCGTACTGCCTCGATATTGCCTTAAGTCACAAACACTATAAGCAATGACAGATGATCGATTACAGTCCTTAACATCAAATGGGAAGTTTCAAACAGACAATGCAAAAATGAATTGAAACTTCATCCCTTTGTATAAGCTAGTGGCTATCTGGACTCAGTAGCTAAATAGCTAACACGATGGTGTTTAAAGCGAACGGTACTGGGCTTGAGTCTTGGAGCGATTATCAACTCTGGGATACAGTTATACACAACTAAAGAATCCGAAATAGAACGAAACGTGCATCCCGGACTCTACTGATACCCACCATCTTTCTGTGCTTATAATACTGTCACGTTTTGTTTGTTTGGGTGAACAGTTCGTCCCACATAACATCGTCAGTCCTGCTGATGTATAAATAACCTTCATCGCTGCATTTATCTTGTTTGATTATCCCAGTGATTTCATCTCCTTTAAAGCGCGGATTTAAGAAGCAGGTTTTTTTTCCACTGTATCGTATTTAACCCGTACGTTGGTTTTGGCACACCTGTCTATGAATTCCGCCTGATATACATTTTCACGTAAGCCACGTTGTGATGGCGACGAGTTCTTCGAACATAGTTTACGAGTGCGGCCAGAAAAAGTTGCCACAATCCCCTTTTGTAACTTATTGGTTAGAAACTGTTGTCATTCTGAAAAACTCCACTGTATTCATTTTTGCGGTGGATGTGTCGTCGTAGTGCGCCGTCTGAATTTCGTTTGACCCCAATATCTCAGAAATGGAACGTACCTACTACATCATGTTCCATGGTAAAATCTATTTCATTGTGTGCTTCCTTGATTGCTGTTTGGGCTTTATTCCGATTCATAAAGGGCACCAATTGCGTGAGATTCCTGAAGATTCACTCCCTGTTCATGTTTTCAAGTCATTCAATTGTTTGGTAACAATCCATTTCAGACCATCGAGAGAAACAAGATTAAAGATTTGAACACTGCTAGAATAATGGCTGCTTCCCTCATCAAATCTTTAAAGCTGTACATGCATGTAAAATACCTCCGTCAAAAAATCAACAACTTCAGAAAATTACAAATTGAATGCACCAAGGAATTTATCTCTGAACTCAAAACAGAATCACTTACTTTTGATATTTTTACCGTTATACATTCATATACACATTCATGCATCTACACTAAACACAAACATACATACTTGCTAGTGAAGTTTTTAAACCGGTCTTGTAAGTGTAACACAGAACAATGTTCAGAGTAGGTTAGGTCTATTCTCAAAAATAATCAATGGCTATTGTAAATCACTTACATAGGTTTATGATTTTCTGATTTAGATCCAGAGAATAATTGATTTCTTAGTTCGTACATCCTTATGTTTATCCAGCAGTAGAAACGTGATTAGTTAAAATTGGATAACCTAGGTCACAATCTACCAGCCAACATCAGTTTGCTGAAGATTTTAAATACCCCTTGCTATGGCAAACCCTACTATCATGAAATATATAGATTTCCTGCCTACTATCTTAACCACTTACTATTATCTCATAACTCTTACGATTATCGTTATTTCCACTTGTTAATTATACTATACAATTCAAACGTAATAGTTCAAATCATGAAACATTACTATTATTATTTGGTTATTTATTCTCTAAAGAAGTGACTTACACTTAGTCACGAAATGTCAGAAAATCTAATTTTTCTACTCATTGGGATATTACAAATATATTATTGATTAATTAATTATTATTGAAATCAATCAGTTATTCACGCTAACTTAAATTCTGTCAGTAACTTTATATCTGAATTACCTCCAATATTGTTGTACTGTCTATTTGAATTTGAGCAAATAACGGAATTTTCATCCTTCTTTTATATCAACTAGAATTAACAGAAAATCTTGAGTTCTCTGTTTTATTGATAACAACTCAATCATATAGATCATTAAATTATTTATGATTGTTGGAATTTTACTATACATTTTAAATACTAAATATACAATCATCTCAGTCACTTGTTTTCTTATCTTTTTCACTTACTAAATGTAATTTTTATATCCTATCAGTGATTGTCAAGATACCGGCTGTGAAGTCTCATACTAAGACTAATAGTTAACCATTCCTACTTAGTTTGCTATAGTGACCCAACTGATGTGATCCCTTATTAAAGTCACTTAACAAAAGGGTTTAGTTCTCCTTAAAGTCATCTTTAAATTAATGTTTGCTTGAACAGTTCACGTTTAGTACAAAATACGCTGTAAATATTTTCATGTTCCATTCGCTTATCGGTCTTTTTATATATCTTCCTTTTTTCAGCCCGATTCATCTAGTTTACTCCTACCTGAGAATGTAGCTAGTAGTAGTTCTCAACCACTTCGAACTGGTTCATTACCCTCTACTAATGGGGTTAACCCTATCAGTTGTGGTGGATATGACGCTGGTGGACGTAGTATGATTAGCGGTCTAAGCGGTATGATTGGTACATCAAAAGATGATACATGTCCCAGTATAGATCCATCTGTTGCTGTCAATTCGAACACAGGTGCATTTTCATGGTCGGACAGTGGAGATAATACACTGGCACGAATATTTGAATTTCTTGGCGTATCACCAAATCAAGTGTTCAATAGTCAAAATCTAATGTTTATCGGTAATAATAATGTTCCAAGTGTTGGTTCTTCAGGTTCATCTGCATTGTCTGCTTCAGGATTAGGCGTTTTAGATAAAGCTAAAGCTGGATCTAAAAGTCATATAAGTGGAGCTAATGTTATCTCACCAGAATCACTTAGTACTCCTCATACTGGCGGTATTGTTACAGGGAGTTTAAGTGGTGGTGTTGCTGCTGGTAGTATTGGCCACCTAGGTAATTCAACAATGAACATTTCACTACATAATTTGGCACTTGCATTTGCTTATCTTTATCGTCGTCAAGAATGTCAATTCGCCTCTCTAACCAATCAACAATCACAGATATTTCAAGAACTTCGTGATGAATTATCTGTTATGCATAGTGAAACACTTAGTATTCAGTCTACACTGAATAATTTAACAACAGAATTAGAAGCTATTCGAGTTAGTTTGTATTTGTTATTAATTTTACTAATGTTATTCGACTGTTTATTATCATTGCTATATATTGTATTTGTGTTTATTTATTTTGTTTTATTGTTCATGTGACATTGTTTTTCGACATTACTTGCCTCCTGATAGTTATGTTTTTTTTTAAAATTAATGATCAAGATATTCTTGTGGCATTTTTTATATAATAATATAGTAATACATTTTAATTGATTTAAATAGTGAAATAATGAGTAACCATACTACTATCTATAGCTGGTTTCATTCCTTATCATTGTTTTACAATAATCGGTATCATTGTTATGGACAGGTACTCTTTTCAAAATAAGATATCGTATGCTGTCTTTACATCTCTATTGCCATATTGATACACCAAAAGTAATGTACTGAATGGATTTCGATGGTCTGAAGCACTTAAAGTACATCACTTCACTTTCCCTGCTATCACTTGCCTAAACGATAAGTATCTGGAAAACGTTCCCACCAATTTTTACTTCATTGTTTACTGTTTCGATGCCAGAAGTATCAGTCTTTTTCTTGTCATAAAATCTCGATTGTCTTAATAGCTTATTACTTGGTTTTTCAATTTCTTCACTGATCATCATTGTAAGAAGAAACTTAAAAGAGGTCAATAAATGTACAGATCACCAGTCTCTAAGAAATTCCGAATGCTTCTTTTAATCACCTTAATACATATCTTATATTAGCTACAATGCAATAAGATACTGACTCATTACATCACTTTCTTCTTGAATCCATAAATGATTGTTTCATACCTAACTATCAAGGTCACTGTTATTGTTGTTGGTTATTTTATTTGTGTAACACAAAAATAGGACAGAATGTAACGGTCAATAACTTAGTTTGTTCCTCTCCTCACAAAAATACCTTCGTACTTGTTATATCCCTTGGATTGACTGTTTCCTTTCCCAATTATGTATGTTTGCACACACATATTCACCTATGGGTGCATGACATTATCACCTGCCTTTAAAAATGTACACACTGATGTGCTTTTCTGTACTTAACATAAACATTGTTATTTTCCTTCTTTTCGTATTTATTTATTTATTTTCATCTCTTTCTAATAGAAACGATATAATAAATATTATTCCATATATATTTTTATTGTGTGATTGTTGATTTCAATGATTTAAAAAAAAATTATATTTTTCATTGTTCACTAGTGAAAATGAATTTATAGGAAAAGGTAACAACTGTATATCCAGATTATGCTGGAAAAAAACGGCTAATTAAGGCTACTATCAGTGTAATTCACTCATTATTTTATACATCTTAATAAAAGACATAACAATTGTAGTTTTTAGTATTTACAACAGAAAAATTCAAACCTTAGATATTTCAAATAGTCTCAGCGATTGAAATTTAAATAATTCCAACGTTTCGTCAAGCTAGCTTGTCTGGACTTCTTCAGGGAAATAATCAAAACCATCAAAGAAATATATATATATATATATATATATATATATATATATATATATATATATATAGTTTTTTTTAACAATTACATCAAAATCTATACTACGTTAATCCGATCATATTTGGATCTCGAATTTTGTAAACAGGATAATATGGGTCAGTTGAATGAGAATCAAGTGAAAAGTTCAACGATGTGAAATAAAAGGAGATTAGATGAATTGTGTGTGTGTGTTTGTATGTGTAAGATGAGTTATTAATAAATGATATTCAGTGTTGACATGTTTCTATGTGAGTAAAAAGTAAGAATAAAAGTGCAAATTGAAGGTTGAAAAGTTGTTTCTTAATCATCGAATTGCAAGTAAAAGTGAGAATCATCAAGTATATATTTGTAATGCTAAACATAACTCATTGATTTCAGTCATAATAACGATTCATGTGAAACAAACAGGTTGAATAAAGGAAGGATCAAATTACTTGTTGCCAAGTGGTTGCTAGCTGAATACCATCCTTTCTGTTAAGGCTGTTCTTATTCACCTATATATACAGCACTTCTGCTGTCAATCTTTCTTCATGAGTGTTGAAACCTTTCTGAAATATTTTGGCCCCTTCAAAATTAATCATGTGTCCTGTTTCTAATGCGTGTAACGTTATTGCAGATTTATTCTCAAGTTTCCTTATGTCAACCAAAGTTTTGGGAACATTTTTTAAACACTATTTGTGTTCCTTCAACCTTACCTTCAATTGTCTGGATGTTTCTCCAATATTACATTACAATCATGACAATTGATCTCATATACAATATTTTGTTGTTCTTCTTTTGGTAACCTATCCTTACCTTTCACCAATGACGATCTTATAGTGTCACATATCCGAAAATACACTCTTGTATCATGCTTGTTTAAGATCCGTTTGATTTCTTCCGATGTTTCACTACGGTATCGGATATAATGTCGTATCCAATAGACAATTTAACAGCTACCTAGTTTAGTGGATGTGTTTGTATGATTCACAAGTGAACATGTCTCGACTAGATAGAATCCATTTTATGGAAATTATAGTATATCAAACTGTTAGTCAGGTTTCGACGGCTGTCTCGATCGAACAGTAAACAGGAAATCAGATGTTGTCAATTACTACAGAGGCTTTTTTTCGCCCCTCATTATCATCTTCGTCTCAGTGAGATCAAGAAAGCACTAAATAACTGTTTTGTCATAGTGTGGGGGTTTTCAGCGGTTCGCATCTATGACCCCTCTCTCGCTGAGGATCAAACCCATTATGGCTTTCAGGTCTGGCTGCAAGAGCTTTATATTAAGACCACTAAGTTGCCATCTAAAAGTGTGCACGTCTAAGTTTAATTAATTTGCTATATTGCACAATCGTTTTCATTTGTGTTCGATGGATAACTTCCTCACACCCGACAAGATTGTACTCCAATGAACATAGCTTTTCATTAGGACTTCGGGGATCTCCTCGCGAAGTTAGTCAGACCAATTTTATTAGCTAACTGACTGACAGACTAATTTTATGCATTCATTTAAATGATAATGATACTAACAACTTTAACACATAGTTTCGACCTTCCTCTCCTTTTTTATTTTAGCGTGATGCAACCACAAAAACCGAGTTACAAAATCAAAAACTAACCGATGCCAGTTCACGTATTGAACGATTGGATGCTATAGCTGAAGAATCTCGACAAGCTTTACCACATGAATTAGCAGCTATACGTAATGAATTTCATGATTCCTTATATTCAGTTGAATATCAAGTGACTACAAAAATACGCGATCTAAGTGATAATATTACAAGTATTAATAATAAGGTTGGTGTTTGTTTGTTATTTCTCTGCATTATGTGAAATAAGATTAAATCCATGTAATTTTATTGAATCCATTTTTTAGTGTAAATTTTCTTTTTAATTTGATAGGTAATATTAAATGGTGATTTTTATAGTGATAGAACGTGATTAGAGTTGACCATGTACGTGTTCAAAAGTTGAGCGATCAACTAATTGACTTCCATTTGGCCTTAAATAATCGTATAGGATTCACCTATTATGTTATCCGTAGTTGCTTAGCAATCAAAAGTTGTTTTCATTTCAGATTGATTTTTTTTCTAAAGCTTTTTATCTTGACTGCTTATAATAATCGATGAACACGTTATTATTAAATTGTATATATAAATTGTGTGGAGTGTCTTTTTTTTCCTTCTAACTCTGTTACATCTTGTTGATATAACGTTTTTGCAGTGGTAGCCGAAACCATTACATTAATAGTAAGGTTCAAATTATCTCGTTGTTGGCATGGAGAACTAGATTTTAAATTAGCGTTTATTGAGATAAACTCAACCTGTTCGGATTAGCCTCGCTATAACCATATTAACAATTTTATAGAGTAAATGAGCTTGCACAGACTGACCACTGGTCCGCAGTGTCAGCAACAGGATAATTCAAACCCATACCAATACTGGTCTAAAAAGTCTACCCATTGTGTGAGTTAGTGGTTATCTGTACTCATTAGGTCAGTAAATAATACAGTAGATGTTTAGCGACTAAAGTTACTGGGTTTGAGACCCGGTATGAATGTTAACATTAGGATGTGGCTCAGTCAGTCAGCAACAATGTAGAACTTCGCACGTACGTACATCAGTTCAGGTTGCTATACCACATTAGCACAGAGATACAATTGTCGATTCAAATCCCATAGTGGTAGAAGTAGTAAGAGTATAAGCAGTAATCTGAAAGATTAGGGTTTGAAGATGTTATTCAAGGAGTATATTCCAGTGAAATAAATTTGGAAGGAGAAAAAAGATAAACACATGAATTTAGAAGATTAGAATTTGGAAGAACACAAATAATGAATGCACCTTCTCCTTCGCAAACAATTTTGAGCCATGTCATTCAAGGTCTCTAACCATCGGTTGCTATCATCTCGCAAATTCTAACCAGGTAGTCTACACCTACCAACATAGCTCAGTCCACTTGTCAGTGACTTCATGGATTTGTGCCACGGTTTGGTCTGACCGCCCCTAGCTTTCTTCCAACCTACTCCTACACCATGAAACATTGCACGTCGGGGCAATCGGTGGTTGGGCATACGTAACACATGTCCCAGCCATCTTAACTGATGAAGTTTCACCACTTCATCAATCGATTTGCCATCCTTCCCTAGAACCCGTTTCTTAACGACTGCATTACTTACTCGGTGGTCTTAAGATATATGAGCAATGCTTCGAAGACACCTATGATCGAATACTAGTAGCCTACGAATATCCTGTACTCTTATCGGCCATGTATCGCTGCCATAAAGTAGGACGGACCGAACTACTACACAGTAAACCCGTTCTTTGGTTGCTAGACGGATATCTCGCCTACGCCATAAATGACGCAAGTTGGTGAAAGCTAGTCGAGTCTTCTGTATCTGTGTTGAGATTTCGTCACACACCAGACCACAAGGGCTGATGAGACTCCCAAGATAAGTGAAGCGGTCGACACGCTCAGCTGCTTTACTCCCTATCATTAATTCAGAGTAAATTTAACGGACGCATCTCAAACAGAATAAAACGTGCTTTCTGAAATCCACGTCTAATCATATTCCATCCGTTTCGTGAAACTATTATATTTCAATTCTTGAATGAATTCTTCTAGAATATATTCAGCTTCCGTTGACTGTATTGATTTTTAATGAATTTATCAACTAAAATTTTGTCACAAGAAAAGAGTTTTTTGATATTTATCAAACTTCATGGATTATTTATAGTATTTAGAAAAATAACTGTCTACACTTTATACATACCTAATGACTGAAGCATTGAAATTTCATATCTTTCATCATGACATTAGTAGCCAGATGGTAGTTCAATCTACGTTATTTTCAAAAACTGAATACTATATCGCTATAGATCCTATTCCATGTGTATACATTATTGAATTATGCTAGATTCAAAAATTAAAGCTACGTATCACACTTCTCCTTAGTCACTCATTAACTCTAAATTGGAGTTCATGATGGAAACTATTTTAAAGATTAGGCGATCGAAAAAGATTATCTCCAAACAATATCAACTTCATATTAATAATTGATCTATGAACTTGACTATCTTTTAAAGTACGATTAAAATTTAATTTCTGAATAAAAAGAAACTAATCTTATCAGATAAACAATTTTAATTCGTTGATAATTTATTACCTTTTACTTATTTATAATAATTATCATTTGAGTTATAATTTTAATTAATTAATTTTAACTAAATTAAAATTAAGGTCAATTTTTTTTCTTCATTTCGATAGGTAAGCATGATTGAAAAACCTCATGATCAATCCAATACACTTGATTTACATGGTACAGAATTAGATCGTATTCGTCGTAAAGTTTTACACTATTTAACTGATTTATGTGTATCATTCTTCGCACTAGTTACTATGCTACTTCAAGTGCTTATACGTTGTTTAAATCTGGGCGCTGTTCTAACGGAAAATAGGTATATTTTATTGTTTTAAAGAATTATTTTTAACAATTTGTAATACACTTTGGTTTTGTTATAACATATCATAGTCAAAAAAAGTTCGAATTGTCTTGTTAATATTCTTGACTAAATCTTCACTGGTCCTTGTTGTCTTGTACATCGTGTTTGGATTGCTTCGACATAGCCATTTAGTAAAAGCTCGTGATTTCAATCAGATTCAACAATCTCTACAACTTTTTACCGATAATTAGCATGTGCTCACTAGTGACTAACTTCGCGAAATTCCTGGAATCCTAGTGAGAAGCCGTGACCAGTGGGGTCAAACTGTGCCGGTTGTAAGACAGTCTTTTGTATCTATATTTTACAATAGTAACCAAATTCACATCTTACCATAATAATAACAACAAAAAGATCCCGTATAATCTCATCTTGGCCTATTTATTTATTTGAACACACAAACATTGATACAAGAGGGCAATAAATACATATTCTCTACACGATAGCGATGAGGTCAGTAGTAGTTATCATTGGTTTGCCTGAGGGCCGTACTACTGCCTGCATGCACAAACCAAAGCAATTGGTTTTCGTAGAGGGCCCCACCAAGAGCCTTTGGTTTGGAATGAGGGTTTTCCAACTCCCCTGGGTTGACCATCCGTGTCCACCGACCCGGATAAAGCACCGGAATTCTCTTTTCACCCTCCAAATTTCGTAAGACTCCCGCTTTGAGAAGGCAATGATCAGGACTTCCCTGTTAGTGGCTGTATACTCGTGGTTATGTGGGGGCATTTCGTGAGGGAGAGCATACTCTCCCTATCCTCGGTCATACCAGGGCATTTAAGTGACTAGCTACATCAACTTCACAACTCTTGTTATATATCTCATTGATTGGTGTTATTGAATTTGTTTTCGAAATACCATAGCATGTCATCAGTTTATAATTTCCACCCTATTGATTTATGCAATAGACTATCGTTTCTATTCTAAATTTGTTTAATTAATTGTATATTTGTTCATTCACTTTCATCTGTTTTGTTTTTTTCGTATAGGAAACTTGCTGTTTGCTTTTCCATGACATTGTTAGCTAGTTGTTTGCTTGTATATACATCGGATCCTATTATTTTATGGCTCAGGGAAGATGATACCATTACAAATCCGGCTACAACAACAACAACCATACATCGAAGATCTCAATACTGGAGAAATATACTTATTGCTATCCTGTCATTTTTTCGAAGTTTTTCCCGTGAAATGACTTGAAGCAATATTTTGATTTATCTAAAGTACGCTTGTCTTGTCTCCTTTATTCAATGGTTCTCTTCACCTAAAGGTTTATTGTCTTTCATGGCAATTACCTGGTGCTTCATTACATATATATATATAAGTATTCTTTTTTACTGAGATTAGTGCTATTTATGCTTCCTTAAAAAGCATGATGGATTTCTATCATTATTCACACATATATTTATACATGAAACAAATCTATCATGACAAGTGTTCTATAAAAATGCTTTATCTGAAGGCTTAATTCTATTTTAAACCATCTCATTGATTAGTTGAATAGAATTTATTTATTAGTAATAACTGATCAACAGCATTATTTGATCTTGTTCTGACACAGTCTTATTTACAATTATTCACTTATTTTATTTATTTTTCCATGAAATTTTCTGTTGAGTTACCTCATTGTAAAAATGTGTGTTTTTACTTTTAAGTGTTTTTTTTAAAATTGCTATTGCATCTTCATTAGCCTATTTTTTAACCTTTCGACTTATTCATTTTGTTCCTATGTAGTTTTTCTTCTTATTATGGACATTGTTCTTCTCACACCCGGTTTTGTCTATCTACCCCTTGTTATTGCAGTGTTACACTGTGGATTGTGTACTGATGCTTGTCCAATGTGTACTCTGCTTATTCTTGAGAGTTTTCTGAATCAACTAAATATTCTAATTATATTAACAGAATAATCTTATTTCTTTTATTCATCTCATGTCGATTTTCGTTGAACAAAATTTATGTTATAATGATATCAATCCATTGCTGTATTTTGTAACATTCTGCTATGAATACCGTTACAAACTAATGTTGTTTATCATTATCATTTAATATTACTTTTCATTTTAAAATCTCGTTGTCATATACGTATTAACTCTTGACTAGAACCAGTCTTTCAAAAAAACAAACAACGATTTGTTTTTCTCTTATTATTATTTACTTTTCCTTACCTCTTAGTAAATCCAATCAGTTTGTTTAGTAATCATATGCATAAGGAGATAGACATCGATGTAAAGCTGTTCAATTTTCTTTGTATTAAAATAAAACATTTCTCGGAATATTTTCATTTTAAACTTTCTTTTCCATTTTGCTTTATTTGTCTACTAAAAACAGATTGATGAGTGGCTTGTTAATCGAATATATATATATATATATATATATTCGCTACATTGTAAATCAAATACTATTATACAGTTTGAACAGAAACTTGCTTGTCTTTTCTTATATTCACATTCACTCATCTATCCGTTAGCATCAAAAACGCATAGCCAAGCTGATGTAGCATGTTGTAGGTTATACGTAGCATATAAGGACGTATAATACTAATCAGTTGCTCGAAGCAGAATATAAGGTGTAGTCTATGACTACTAGACTGCATATATATATATATATATATATATATATATATATATATATATATATGAGTCGAAGTACAGCATGTGAGGTAGTTGATCAAGAAAAAACTTCCCATCTCTTTTATGTAATTCAATACACATGAGCAGCAGATATAACTTTACATGGTTCTCAGGCCGTTTAAAACTAAAATGAAAAACCGTTTTATCATCGAGTAAAAATAATAATAATAAACGTGTCGAATAGTCTATTCTTTTTACGTAAATTGTATATAACACACAAATCAAACCTAACCAGAAACACTGAAGACTCAGAAAAATATTTGCGTTCAGATAAGCTTTCGAGAAGATATACTGTAGTCATGTAACCATACGCCGTCTTATCAATTAACTTAGAAAAACCTGGTTAGTTAATGAGCTACCACATCCATCCTTTTACACATTATATATACATAAAGCGATACAAATTATGTAGCATTACTAAGGTCCTCAAACATAATGGATTAATTACTTACATTATAATTATAAGTTTGTGGCTGACAGTATCAAAACATATGGTAAGAAATTGTAAAAAATGACATTTGAATCTTCAGTTAAAATTGATTTAGCCTATTGAATAGAATAGTACAAAATAGGTAACTACTTTTTCAAAGGATGAGTGGTCTGAGTCTAGCGGATTTTTGATACTCTGATCCTAGGTTTCACATGTAAAGTATTTTTGGCTTCGTGACCAGACTTTTTAAAATTTCGGTTTGTTTTGCTTTGTGTTAAATTCATTAAACAACTTAAGTGATAATTCTCTGTACACTAGCGGTCGGCCAAGCGAATCCAAACATAAAGGTGCAGGTAAGAAACACAGCGCACAAGGTGATGGCTAAGGTTATTTAGTATTGGTGTGTGAAATAAGGAAAAGAACATTATGTTCGGTGTACTGCAGAATTAACTGATGACGCAGGTGTAACAGAGAATGGCAAACGTGTAGTTTCTTTTTGAGTACCCCCAGTATATTTTTGAAGGCTATTTCTTTTAAAATAAGCTATACACTAATTGTTCGTCTAGTAATGACCAGCGTTATTTTTGTCTAGTCCTTAGCAATGCACAGATTTTACCAATCAAACTTTGATGGCTACCAGCGCAAGCGACTCTACATTCTATGCATTATATTTTGAGTTTAGATGGCTGTAGATAATCAGTAGGAAACCGTGGGCCTACGTTTAGTGTTAGTTGGTACACCTCCATTCCCCAAAGATTTTAGGGAACACAAATTGTCTAGAACATATGCAAACGAATTGGGTTTAAAGCAGTGCGATTCCCAGCCTACACTTCATTTATGTGAACATAAGTGGCATCTAAACACTGTTAAATTGTGACTGTTCTCTGTTGATCGCAAGGTTGCTGAGCCATTGTATAGTCAAACAGCAAAATCATATTTGAACGACCCTATGAATGAGGAATAACGAGCAAACCTAGTGGATTTGTAATGATATAGGGAACTCTGTGATCGCTCGGTAAACACCATGTACTAGACAACTTAATAAATTTGATTATCGCTTCACTCACAGCACCATTTTGACTTAGACAAAGTAGTGTGCTTCAGAACAAATAACATATATTGTAGTATCCAATTAGGATATTTTTGCTCTACCTGGTTGAGAACTTTAGGTGAGAATACCTAACCAAACTGTGTGTCTTAATTTCAATGATGATGGAAGTAAATTCTTTGTGTTTGACAATCGGACATCCAAGTTACACTTACAAATAAGTTCAGTCAATAAGACAATGTACTTTCGGATTTCAGTAGGAGTGGATGTAACTAGATATTCGCTTATCCTATGTAAGTGGAAGCAAAGTATATACACATACCTCGTACCGAGAACATTTTCTCCTCAAGATGATGCTATTGTATTAAATTTGGGTTTCGTTTCTGACTTTTTCAGTGTGTCATCATTGCTTGCATGATGCACATAATGTGTTCATTTCATTTTACTTGAACTCTAAACTTGGTGGCTGCCACTTTTTTCCCGGTTTGACTATTCCCCCATGAAGTAGATGCTTTGATCTAACCAGAGATAATACAATAATGTTATATATTCGGTATACATACATCCAGGGTTTTTACTAATACTTTACTGTTCACGCTTGATTGATAATAATGCTTGGTCACTAGATGGTACAACGACTTCTCCTATCTGAAGAAAAGTAGTTTTATTTGGGTTGAGGAACTGGTTTAATGGCCTGAAGCAATCTATCCACTTCATGTATTTTGCATATGATTTTCCTTATTTTGCTGATGAATTCCGTGATTACTTAAGACTAGCGTCGATATTTGTTAAGGTATTTTCTATTATCTTAATGGTTAAGACCGTACCCAACCTAAAGAGCGTGTTTCTTTTTTGTCAGTGGGGAATGACGAGTATTCAAAATGTTGCAAAATGATATCGAGAATAAAAACAATGGCACAATGGATGTAATATAATGTAGTGAACGAAAACTAACGTATGATAAACTACTGTATTGTTTCTTGAAAGCTGACACAGTTCTTTTGTAAAATATGAAAATCATAAATTAAATACAGCATTTACACATCATCCTGCAGTTGTTTACATATTCTATCATTCTTCTAATTCTATTGTTGTTCCGATTGCATTAGGTTTTCGTTCCTCTTCACTTAATTCCTTACTTCTGTTGATAAGGTTTCTACTTCCTATCCCCGCTACATACTACTTATATATGTTCACATAAGAAGCCCACACTACAGCAACTTCAACTGCTGACAATAATTAATCTATAGATAAACGACAAAATTACCATTAAAGGCAGTTATACTCTGTTTAAGAATCACTGAAGTTAGGTGTGTTAATACCTCTATTTTTATAACTCACGACTTCAGACTCGGCCACAGTGAACTTACGTTCATCTTTCGATCAATTTGAGAATTAATTTAATTTACTTCGTCTCACCGAGATTAAAGTGGATTGTCTTATGTTAGCATGTGAGTGCTCATTGTTGAGATACATTAAATTGAACCATGTTTGTTATTTGAACAGTATGTTTCCTCTTGATTGATAGAGGTATTTTATATTTCGATGGTTCATTTTTGACAGGCATAATTGTAGTTGGCATTTGTTCCTGTAGGAATAATATTGTTTAAACATATTTTATTTATTTTCATAATCATATTTCTCTTAACGGTTCATTTTCTTAACCGTTCGACACATTTTTCTATACTACCTTACAAAAAGTGTTAGCTGTTGTCGTTTATGGTTCATGTAAACTCACGGACAAACTACTGGAACAATCAGCAACAAAGGTATGTCAGAGTTCCAGGAGTTCAGCATTTCATGATAAACGTACGCCATAGTGGGCACTTTTTTCTCCAGCCTTCCGTTTCCTCTTATTTATTAATTAGTCTCAGTTGTCGATGTTTCAATTATGCTCATTTGTGCTCTGTGTATGTCTTTGATGTTATCCAGCGTCAGCTAGATTACGTCTTTTTTCATTTTGGAATTAGACATGCTGTAGATTTTCAAAATATGAATAACTAAAAAGGCTAAACTGATGCTAAAATAGTCGTGTTAATATTTTATTATTAGCTGTCATGTTATTGCATCATAATTTTCTTCAGATACTAGGAAAGACAACTCCATTTATGCTTTTTCAAGTTTTAAGACCCATTATAGACGGTCCTGCTTCACCAGATAAAACACACAGGGGCATGTATTAGTAATTATCATCTCTAATTAGCAACTCATAGCATCCTCGCATGTGCACTTTTGTCCAGTAATCCCTAATACTGAGACTTCAGTGGGTCGTAATACAATTTTAGAATCTAGATATTTTACGTTGTTGAATGAAATAATGTAATCTACATTACATGAATCGACAACAAAGTCGTGGGATGAACCAAGGGAGTTATTTAATCTATTCTGAATACGGGAATCGTAGATAAGGTTTAATGATCATTAGGAACAACCAACTTAATAAAATCCGTACAATAAGGTCTAACATCACTATTGGCAAAACGGACAGTAATTTTGCAGGCTAACTTTATGTATTCCATTTTATCACACTTAAAGCACTTAGCATGACGAAAGACATATGAATCACGCAAGTGAAATTTACCACAGGATAAATTGTTCCCAAACCCTTGCTTATCTCTGTAACCTGCTTTTCAATTCTTTGTCTAATCGGTTTCCATATTTCCACAATTATTGGACCATTATTGAACGAACATAAGCATGAGCGACACTGGAAATATAGTTCATCACGACGACTGAGTGAAGTATTGGAAATTTTCAGTGACTGGAAATCAAACTTATTCACTGCCTCATGGTAACACATGCTGTTTTAGTTTCTTGGAATGAACTTTTGGGTTCCAGAATTAATTCTCTTTCTGAATTTGGGAAATTAGTGTCTGCAGTCAAACGACCACGAAGTTGAGTTCCCGATAGGCCCACGAAATTACAATTTTCGTCCTGTTTCTGTGGTTCAATTAGAAAGTCTTTGACTTTCTCAACATTTTGTAGCATTATTTGATGAAAAACCAGTCTACCTGTGCAGTCAAAGCTACCACATTGGACATGATCAAGCAGTAATTCTTTGAGAGATTCACTCATATGATAATGAAATCGGTCTCTTTGGAAAAGCCAAATTCTTTACCAGGTTGTATGCTTCTTTGCCGATGAACGTCAAAAAATGAGCTGTGAATTTGACGTCTTTATTATTTTTTGTATTCATCCGCCAGATTTCCAACCGCTCCGTGCAGTCTTCAAAGTCATCTCCAATTCAAATAATATACAAATGCCCAATATTGCACTCAATAGCGACATCGGCATAATAAGTTAAAGCATT